ATATTCACAATATGACATAGAAACAGAAAGCGCATAAGAAACTACTGACATATTCACAGTATGACATAGAAACAGAAAGCACAACAGAAACGACTCACATATTCACAATATGACATAGAAACTAAAAGCACAACAGAAACTACTTACCATGTAGCTGTCCAAATTGAAGTTACATAATCCATGAAATCCATTACTGGGTGAATTTTGTCAGTCTGTAACTTTCCAAGAAGTATAAAACTGGCTTCTGTGGTTGCAAATAGATATTTGATTAGAGAAAGCACTGCGGTCACTGTATGCAGCAGTGCACTGTGTGTTTCCTTGGTCAGTTTTCCTTGACAGCCAGTCAGCTTGTCCCACTTTCTTAGCCATTCAGCAAACTGTTCAAGATAATGCACTTGTTCATCATCATTTGACAATACAGGATTTGAGAATGAGTTCAGTGTCTTTTTACCTACAAATTTACTTTTTACATTAACAATATGCCACCATCTAAGGATGGCTTCAATAAAATCTGCTGTTTCATTACTGCCTACTAGACGCAGAGCAGCAACATTGTATTCAATAAAAATTGCCAAAGCAAGAGGAACATTCTGTCTGTCCATGCTGGAGGGATAGATGGCTTTGTGGGAAAGTTTAGGTGCCAGTTTTGCAATATTCTTTTGCTCACTATAATACAGTTTCTTTAAATGAGAAAAGTTAGCTTCTGCAGCTCTATCACTATCACAGACTGGGTTCTCAATAAAAGTTTGGCTTGGTTTCAGGAGATCACTGTAAACTCTGCGATTGACAGCACTATTATCTGCAATTACAGCAACCACTGTGAAACCACACTCCTGTACAAAGTGGATACAGTGGAGTAATTTCAAACGTAGATCCTGAGATGTCATTCTGTTCACAGGTGAAAGTTCTATAATTTCCTGGTAGCTTCCAAAAACTGAAGATATGAGGAAAGCCTGCACTGTTGTTGCTGCTTCTTTTGCATTGTCTGCATTGCCAAATATTTTGCCCCCAGAGTAAGTAATTGCAGATTTAACATATATTTCATCCATCTGAACTACTACAATCTTTTCTAGCTCTGTTAGTTTGTCTTGTTTCAATTTCAAGTACTGTGAAATGCTGCCAGTATGAGTAGACAATGACAACTGTGAAGTTAAATTGTGCAGTGTTCTTTGATGAGGCAGGCACAACATACGAGATTTTCTTATAAACCGGTAGCATGCTGGAGATTTAATGAACAGCATGAAAGCGAAACATAATGTGCTACAACTGTAATGCCTTCTGTTTTTTAACACGGTTAAAAGTTGCAGCTGCTCTGCAAGAAAGTTTACTTGTGTGTCAGTTACTTCATCAGCTGTCCCATTAGGAGTCCACTGTTGCTCTGCAGCACTCTTCAAAATACTTCCTGCTTCTTCCACTAAATCTGTGAAGCTATTTTGGCTTTGAATTTTACTATAATCCCAGGCATTGTAATGAATTACAAGATTTTCAAGCTGTGACCATTTTACAAGTTTATTGTTGTCTACAATCCATTTAAGGTCTTTGTCTTTAACTTTTTTATTTTGAACAAAGACTTGTATAGTCATATCAAGTAACACCTTTATGCTGACACCTATGGATGGTGCAGAGTCTGACTGTATGGTAATGACATACAAAACAATACATGCTAAAGCTCCATCTACAGAAGTGTGTTTCCAATTTTTTTCAAAGTGTCCTTTCAGTTTGTTTCCTATCTGTGACTCCAGATCTTGGAAATCTGTAATGATATCTGAGGACAGCCAATCATTTACTTTTTGATCATAATTACGATTAATATGTGATACACGTTCCTCTGGAGTTTTGCGAGAGGCTGGTACTTTCACCGATAAATAGGATGGAAGATCTGGAAAGATAGTTGGATAAGCATCTTTTTTTAAAGCGGGATTCTTTCTTGGGAGTATATGCTCGATTCCAGATTTGTCTGTATATTTATCAGACACAATAATATCTGACGTACGAAAATGTTTTATACATACTACACTGGTATTCCCAGGACTCCAATTTTTCCGTGGAATATGTTTCAGCCCTTTGTCTCTTAAAAGAGAATTCGAAGGGAATCTGAAGCAACTTACATATCCACTAGAAAGGTCATAATTTGAACGACACTCGGGTACAGAACATTTAGCAGGCATAGTTCCTCGAAAACCAACACACTGACGATAAATCCAACGTAAATTGCAGAAGTTGCTTACTAAATCTACTCCCTGAAATACCGCTTATAGGTGAATCAGACGTGAAAATTAAACCACATTAAAAACTTTCACAAGAAAAATAAAAGCGAACACACACTGAAACATCCATTTTGAGTTTGCCTCGGGAAGTGACGTCACCAGTCGAGTTTCAGGGCCTGTAATTTTCGAAGGCGTCGTTTTAACTAAGGTGGCTTTACTTGTGTTCCAAATGAATTTTGATAAGACATTTTCTCCCATGCATTGGGGGTGGGCTGACGAGGGCCATACTGGACACTTCATCTCTGGGGGGTCAGCAACTCGAAGATCCCCTGCCGACTCGGTTTATGTCACAGAGCTGATCTATTATCTGAGGCGCACAACAAGGACAGGTGTCTTGCATGAGGATTCATAAAACCAGGCTACAGTTGGCTGGCTCCCTAAGTGTGGTACAGAGTATCTCATTATATACATCACAATGGCCTTAACTTTCTCTCATCCCTGTGATCAAAATCCCTGTGCCACTTTTTGTTTTCAAATGCCTACTGTTATGGTTAGACAGTCCTGATGAACTATCCTTTCTGTATTCAGATCATGAAGTCTCCATGTGCCATATTTTACTCTACAAAGAATAAGATGCTTTCCAGATTCTTATCACTATTCTCTGTTTACTAATGTTTGTAATGAAGTCGTCCCCTTGTGGGATGAAATTTTTTGTTATTTTGAGCCCCACCTCGGCTTTTGCCGGGTGCCCCAAATATGACCTGAGGGTTTGCGGGACCTCTGCATGGGGGAACCTCATCCGCATGGTGGCACTTTGTGTCACCGGGTGTTTATCGCCCTGTGAGATGTCCTGGTGGGGTAAAATTTACTTACTTACTACTTACTAACTAAGGTTGTTTTTTTTTCTTCTTTGCAAAATCTCTACAGCTAACCTCATAATGATGATGGGAGTAAAAAAAACTTGAAAAGCAAGCACTATTAGCACTAGTGAAACTGACTGACTTTCTACCCCACTAGGACATCACACAAGCGATAAACACCCGATGACACAAAGTGCCACCATGCGGATGAGGATTGCCGTGGAGAGGTCCCAGAAACCGCGTTCAGACAATTGGCCACATTTATGGTCTGCCTATATTGCGGCCCCTGGCAAAAGCCAGGGTGGGGCTTCAAATTTAAAAAAATGTCATCCTCAAAAGGACGAAACTGGATTATAGATAACTAGTGAAACATTTGCAACAAAATATGAAACAAAATAAATCTAACAATTTTTGTTTTCAAAATAATGTTATTAATTGAAAAAGATATTTCTAAAATAAACAGTGTATGCATATGCATGGTCAAAATCTTACCACAGTTTACACAAAGCATGCCAATGGCAAGCAAAAGTCTCTTCCCATGACAATAATAACACTTGTTCCTTTTTATCTACACCTACTGCACACTCTGAAACACATGAAACAAATACAGGGTCCATATCCGTCAAATACGGTGATACACAAGCATCTATATGCATCATAATCTGTCATGTGTTATACATAAATTACCTATATGGGTCAACATCTGACACACAATACACACAACTGTCACATATCTGTCAAATACGGTGATACACAAGCATCTATATGCATCATAACCTGTCATGTGTTATACATAAATTACCTATATGGGTCAACATCTGACACACAGTACACACAACTGTCACATATAAAGATCTAAACCTGTCATATATGACACACAGCCAACACACACACACACACATGCAGGCATTTTTTTTTAAAACTAGTTGTGTATCCTCGACAGGATGTTGCAGAACCAACCCCAGGATATTTTGGCTGTTGTGTTTTTCTAGACAAGTTTATGTCCAGTAGTTTTCCATTTGCTTTCTGGATGGTCGGCTTCTCGATACCACTGTCAAAACCAAATATCAAAGCCATTTTGTAAACGAGCACAATGCATGAATGCAGAAGAATTTATTTTTGTCTTTATACAATTGGTTGAAGTTTGCAGATAAATTTCTCTGTAGAATGAGGTTGCCAGTTTTGCATCAACCCTCATTAGTCCAATTCTATGACATGCATAGTATGTTACAGTGTTACTATTCTTCAATTCATTTATGTTTCTCGTTAAGTCAGACACACATACATGATTTCTTTCGCAAATCTGTCACAAAACAATAAACAAACAAAACAATCACACAAATATGTTTAGAAGTTGAATTCAATTTAAAATGTGGACGGATTCTTCTGCAAGATGATAAGTCAGTGGGGAGACGGTCATTTATGCAAGTTGATAAGTCAGTCGGAAGACTGTCATTTCTGTAAGATGCATAATGAGTTAATATAATATCGGATACAAATAATTCAATATAACATAACTGGAAATTCTTCTTCTTCTGCTTTGCGTTCAGTTTCGTATGCTCAGATCAGACCATCAGGTGGGTTGCCTCGATGAACTTGCATGTCACTAGCTGGGTCTTCATGGTTTCCCATAGCTTGCTCTGCACACTTTGCTCTTGAGGCCAAAAATGAAGATAGGAGCAATGATGAATGCACTTTGAAACTGACAAACTAAAGGTTAAACATAAATTACAAGACTTTATTCAATACATGTTAAAAGAAAAAACTTTCTTGGCCTAAACAGCACCTTTTGAAGAAAAACTATATGATGATATGTCAACATCTCAAATTAAGTGCTGCATTTTCTCTTTTGTTTTAACATATTGGGGTTGACATCTGAAAGTTTAAAAAAAAAAAAACAAGATGCAATATCTCAAAATGCATATGTGTATGATTAAATCATGGTGTGGCACAGTGGACAAGTCTTCCTCTGAGTGATTTCTGACTGCAAGGCTCGATGTTTGCAGATCAGACACATCCAGAACTGATACTCCAAGATTGGTCTGCCTGTGACGATGCAGGTTGGATACTTTGTATCACAGCTTGGACATACTGTGCACCTAAAAGATTGTAGAAATAACAATATTTTGTCATTAAATGAAAAAATGAAAGCAAATTTTTTTTCACATGTTTTTTAATTGTCCAGTTTCCAACTGTCTAGTAATCAGCAAAACACGCCTAAGTTTCTTCTTTTTTCTTCTGTATTCTGAGCCCTTGGAGTTCATCGCTGCAGACACCACCTGCCTCTATTATCTCTGTGATTGGCTTTCTCTTTCCAGTAGGTGGTTCTAAGTGTTTGTCAGTCTGCTTGTATTTCTCTCCACAATCTTCTTTGTCTGCCTCATGGTCTATTCTCATCTTTGAGCTGCTAATTTGATAATGTCCACAGACCTATCAGAACTTGATAGCTGATGTGATTAATACCATGCCAACTGCTTTTACTTCCCAAAACATTTCCTTGTATTCCGTTTAAGCCTGGATCAACTGGGAAGCTCAAGCTAATTCTAAAGATCTATCTTCATAAAGATTTGAACCTACAGCCACCATTACATCAGACAAGCATGACAGCTACTGCACTATCACAGCTTCCAGACTTGTTTTTCTAGAGTGTTATATTTTCATTATCTGGTATGAGCATACTAAAGAAATTTAGACAGATATTTTTAACCAAATAATTCATCATGTTTCTTTGTAACTTCAAAAAAAAATATACTATTCTGCTTCCTCCTAACGCAAACTGTTGTCATTGGGTGTCGGTTGTTAAACTACATACTTCCCATAATGCCTCTTGTGTAAATGATTTAAGCCCAATCATTTTTAATTAACAAAATGTGTTTAAACTGATAAAAATACTCCAAGATTTATTTCATTTTGTAGGTCATAAATCATACTTTCTTCATTTTTTTCTAAAGAGAAAGAGTGAGAAACCTCTCTTCTGTCAAGGGCTACTGGGATATTTATATTATTTCTCTCATTCCACACAATTTGTCATCTTACAAAGAGACCATCTGTATTTATTGGTCAAATATTTAATATTAATATGCTCACTTCTAAAGTGATGGCTGGAACTGTTTCTCTCTGGTGATTTAAATAATATAAATTTATGCTATTAGGCAAAAGAAAAGCTCCTAAATTTACTCGTTAATCTGAATCATTTGTGTGTGTGTGGGACAAACCTTCACTGCAAAGCTAAGTTAAAAGGGAAGTCAATAAGTAAGTCACAAATGGTTATATGATGGCAGGAAATTGTAGTTGGTGGTTTCTAATGTCATTACTTGACAGCAACATCGAACTTTTTATCTCCGTTTGTTAAGTGTTGCTAGGTGTTGCATGCTCATTCGCAACACAAAAACAAAATGGTGACTGTACTTATGGAGTGTACCCTCAATGAACAACGTGCTGTTGTGAGTTTTTTGGAGGAAAAAGGGCTGCCTGCAAAAGATATTTATAAGGAAATGCTTCCTGTTTATGCTGACAAACATTTATCCAGTAAAACGGTGTAAAGCAAAAATAATTTTCTCAAGGACGGTCTAGAATTGTCAGTGAAGTCCGATCTGGTCGTCCCGTTAAGATTGCAACAGACGCATTCGTACTGCTCCTTCATGACAATGCTAGACCACATATGGCTTGGTTAACTCAGGAGAAAATTAACCTTCTAGGGTGGAGATTTCTGGAACATCCACCCTACATCCTCGACTTAGCGCCTAGCTATTTCCACCTTTTGGGTCCACCTAAAACACACCTTGGCAGGAGACATTTCACGAATGACGCAGATATTGAATGTGATGTGAAAATGTAGTTTAGAAAACAGAGCATGCAGTTTTATGCAGCAGGTTTTGGGAGAACTGATAAAATGATGGGACACATGCAAAAAATGTTGGTGGAAATTATATTTAAAAATAAAGGGACAGTGTATGGTATGTGTAAAAATAAACGGTTTTCAAGTTATAATCATCTTTAGTTTTTTTTTTTTTTTTTTTTAAACAACTATTTGTGACTTATTTAATAACTTCCCCTAATATTTTATGTATTCTTCAATATGTGCCAGGACACCTCCTACTCACCAGTCAGGCATCTGGGAACCACAGTTTGGACAATCAACCTTGTTTGCTCGTCCATCTTTGGGACTGTGCCTGAAAAGATTTCCTCACATTTTAAGCAAACTTTCGATTATTTTTATATACAAAATATGGCCAATTCAAAAATAGTATGATACATTCTTTTTCTTCTTCATCCCATCATTTACCAGCGGTAAAATCTGGCAGAAAGTTTTGGTTGTTCACCTACTCCAGACTTTGATCTCTATCCAGAACTTGAGTTTTGCAGGCAAATCCATTTTACAGATCCGGCTTATTTGTATACATGCTGTCGGATCCTTGCTTCTCGGGAAAATGCACTCTGACTTTAAAGGAAACACCCCTAATTAGCCAAAACTATGACATGCTTGTTTGGGTGTGGGGGGGGGGGGCAGATCCTTTCTTTATTCTCCAAAATGGGTTCCCAAAACCCACATGGAGAGTGTGATACATTCAAATGTTTAAACCTGATACTCTAATTCTTCTTCTTCCTCTTCCTCCTTCTTCTTTAAAATTATCCTCCTGGTTTGTTTTTTTTTAAATTATTTTCTTCCTACTTCTCCTTCACCAAGTCCTCTTTCACTTCTCTTATACTGTGTTATGTGCGTGCTGTGATTTCACATGCTATGTGTGATGCATGCTATGTGTGTTTTATATGTGAGTATTACGAGTGTGCTGTGAGTGCTATGTATAGGCTTACTTGGTGAAGATCTCCAGAGCCAGCTCCTCGTAGTGATGTCTCTGCTCTGGGCTCAGAGAATCCAGAGATTCTAATTTGATAAATGCCTTGGAGCAGACGTTGAAGGCACGGTTAGCACAAGCTGCCAAAGCTGAAATACAAGTAGATGAAATAAACTAGGAAGTGCACAAGAACTAAAGGGCAGTAAATCAATTCATTAACTTTATTGCTTATTGCCATGTCTTCATGTATGTTTATGCAGCAAATACTTTTTTTTTTACAGGGTGGGGCAGCTAGCCCCTTGCTCAACTCTCCTCCTTTTTCATCCAGGCTTGGGACTGGCAATGGCAGAGATATGGAAAGTTAAATACATTTCTTCTTTTTCTTTCTTCTTCACGTTCACCAGCTGTAAACTCTGGCGGAAGGTTCTGGTTGCTCGTCCACTACTGAACTGCAGTCCTGCTCCAGAACCTGAGTGTTGCGTGTGCATCAGTTTTACAGATCTCATTCTCTTGAATACAGACTGTTGGTTCCTTGCCTCTCCGGCAGATGCACTCCGACTTCAAAGGAAGCTTCCCAATTAGTCGACTCTTACGACATGCTTTTGGGAAGGCAGTGGGTCTATTCTTGTTTTCCCCACAATGGGGCCCCGGAACCCACACGGGGGTTAAATACATTTGAAAACAAATGCCTGTAAAACATAATGGCACAACAGCGTAATTGACTGTGAGCCTCTGTAACACATTATGGCACAACAGCAAAACTGACTGCAAGCTCTATGTAACATATAATGGCACAACAGTGAAACTGACTGCGAGTTTATGTAAAACATAATGGCACAACAGTGAAACTGACTGCAAGCTCTATGTAACATATAATGGCACAACAGTGAAACTGACTGTGAGTTTATGTAACACATAATGGCACAACAGTGAAACTGACTGCGAGCCTATGTAACACATAATGGCACAACAGCGAAACTGACTGCGAGCCTGTGTAACACATAATGGCACAACAGTGAAACTGACTGCGAGCCTGTGTAACACATAATGGCACACAGCAAAATTGACTGCAAGCCTATGTAACACACAATGGCACAACAGCAAAATTGACTGCGAGCCTGTGTAACACATAATGGCACAACAGCGAAACTGACTGCGAGCCTATGTAACACATAATGGCACAACAGTGAAACTGACTGCGAGCTCTATGTAACACATAATGGCACAACATCAAAACTGACTGTGAGTTTATGTAACACATAATGGCACAACATCAAAACTGACTGTGAGTTTATGTAACACATAATGGCACAACAGTGAAACTGACTGTGAGTTTATGTAACATATAATGGCACAACAGCGAAACTGACTGCGAGCTCTATGTAACACATAATGGCACAACAGTGAAACTGACTGTGAGCCTATGTAACACATAATGGCACAACAGTGAAACTGACTGTGAGCCTATGTAACATATAATGGCACAACAGTGAAACTGACTGTGAGTTTATGTAACACATAATGGCACAACAGTGAAACTGACTGCAAGCTCTATGTAACACATAATGGCACAACAGTGAAACTGACTGTGAGCCTATGTAACACATAATAGCACAACAGCAAAACTGACTGTGAGCCTATGTAACATATAATGGCACAACAGTGAAACTGACTGCGAGTCTATGTAAAACATAATGGCACAACAGTGAAACTGACTGCGAGTCTATGTAACACATAATGCCACAACAGCGAAACTGACTGCGAGTCTGTGTAACACATAATGGCACAACAGTGAAACTGACTGCGAGTCTATGTAAAACATAATGGCACAACAGTGAAACTGACTGCGAGCCTATGTAACACATAATGCCACAACAGCGAAACTGACTGCGAGTCTGTGTAACACGCAATGGCACAACAGAAAAACTGACTGCGAGCCTATGTAACACATAATGGCACAACAGTGAAACCGACTGCGAGCATGTGTAATAAGTAACGACACAACAGCAAAACTGACTGCGAGCCTATGTAACGCATAATGACACAACAGGACAATAAATGAATAAATGTTTTGCTGTGAAAAGTGGCTGGTCTTCTTCTTTTCTCTAGTCCTGTTCTGCCTTTCAGAAGCAGGTTCTGAAGAGGCATCTAAAGCCATCCTTGGTATATGCTTCAAAATGCTATGTATTAGCAGATGCATATATTCCATCCATCCATCACATGCAAAGGTGACCTCTAGATCTACCTCACTGTAAGTGACAGGAGCTCTCTGTGGTGAGCTATCTTGTGGTAGTCGTGACCTGTGTCAAAAGCACTTAATCTGTTATCTTTTCGGGTAATATATAACGGCACAACAGTGAAACTGACTGCGAGCATATGTAATATATAATGGCACAACAGTGAAACTGACTGCAAGCTGGTTCATTCAAACTTGTATCCTGATACTGCTGAATCTGATATGGTCTCTTGATAAGTTTGCGATTCATCATAGACATTTCGTGTCTCTTGCTTCAATTCTGCTTCTACCTTTTGTTGTTTAATGTCCACACCTGGCAATGGAAACACAATGCTGGTACAACTCATCATCATCATCATGTAGCAGGTCCTTTGCAGAACATCGCTTTCATCACGGTCTGCCTGAAAGAATCTCGGTCTCTCGCCAGCTTTCCCGCCTCATGTACTTTCATACTCAAGGAGTCATGTATATCCTGTGCCCATTTTTGTGTTGGTCGGCCCCTGCCCCTTTTTCCTGGTACCATGCCTTCTGCTATTATTTTTTTTCCAATCATTTGTACAACTACGGTGAAAATATGTAGGGTGAAACCACCAGTAATTAATTCAGAGGTAGATACAAGTTTGCTAAACTCCCTGAATACCAGAAGGTTTTACAAGAGATTTCCGTATGCATTTTGAAAAAAAAAAAACTGGATAAACTTAAAATGTATTGCTTTCAAAGATACTAAATACCAGAGAAGCCAGATTTCTCAGTATAGTGTGACCAGCTATGAAAAGGACAAGAACATATTACATTTTTAGTAGGATGCACATAATTTTAAGAATGTAAATAAGAAGAAAATAAAATTACCCAGCAAGGAATAAATATTAACTGGGTCAATGACATCGTCAAAATCTCGGAGATGGAGTGCTGTCCTCATGGCTGCGTCAACATATCCTGCAACAAAAACACTGACATTTGAGGCAATTTTCCAAACAGAATAATGATTTTTCTATGCATCTGTACTCTTGTTTTTGAGGAACACATTTTTATTTAATTTCTTCCAACTTTATTCTTTTGTATGAAAAAGTAAAGTCACTGGTCGTTAGTCAAGGTTTTAACATCACTGCAGAGTGGTCGCCCCATGACTAAAACTGCAAAATAAAATTAAAGAATTATTAAAAAAAAAAGGTTGTAAAAGAGAAGACGTCAACAACAGAAATTTATTTATTTGAGGGCGGAGATAATGCAGTAGCTAGCAGACTTGCCTGTCTGCTCGGCGATCATAGATTTCAATTGAAGTTACATATTTGCTGCTGTCATCTGAATGTAAACTGAGTGTTGGTTGACGTTTATTGTTCACTGAAAACTGTAATACTCTAGTCACTTCAAACTTCACAGAGGTTTAGAAATAACAACAATGGAGGAAATGGTTACTGAAAGATACAGCAGGGGTTAAATAATGCTATAGTGGACAAAAGGATAAAGCAGGGGTTAAATAATACTATAGTGGACAAAAGGATAAAGCAGGGGTTAAATAATGCTATAGTGGACAAAAGGATAAAGCAGGAGTTAAATAATGCTATAGTGGACAAAAGGATAAAGCAGGAGTTAAATAATGCTATAGTGAACAAAAGGATAAAGCAGGGGTTAAATAATGCTATAGTGGACATAAAGGATAATGCTATAGTGGACAAAAGGATAAAGCAGGGGTTAAATAATACTATAGACAAAGGATAAAAAGGATAAAAGCAGTGGGAGTTTAAATTAATGCTATAGTGGACAAAAGGATAAAGCAGGGGGTTAAAATAATACAAAAGGATAAAGTAGACAAAGGATAAAGCAGGAGTTAAATAATGCTATAGTGGACAAAAGGATCAAGCAGGGGTTAAATAATGCTATAGTGGACAAAAGGATAAAGCAGGGGTTAAATAATACTATAGTGGACAAAAGGATAAAGCAGGGGTTAAATAATGCTATAGTGGACAAAAAGGAGGGGTTAAAAAGCAGTGGACAAAAGTTAAATAATGCTATAGTGGACAAAAGGATCAAGCAGGGGTTAAACAATACTATAGTGGACAAAAGGATAAAGAAGGGGTTAAATATTGCTACAGTGGACAAAAGGATAAAGCAGGAGTTAAATAATGCTATAGAGGACAAAAAGATAAAGCAGGGGTTAAATAATGCTATAGTGGACAAAAGGATAAAGCAGGGGTTAAATAATGCTATAGTGGACAAAAGGATAGAGCAGGGGTTAAAAAATGCTATAGTGAACAAAAGGATAAAGCAGGGGTTAAATAATGCTATAGTGGACAAAAGGATAAAGCAGGAGTTAAATAATACTATAGTGGACAAAAGGATAAAGCAGGGTTAAATTAAATAAGCAGGAGTTAAATAATGCTATAGTGGACAAAAGGATAAGCAGGGGTAAATAATGCTATAGTGGACAAAAGGATAAAGCAGGGGTTAAATAATGCTATAGTGAACAAAAGGATAAAGCAGGAGTTAAATAATGCTATAGTGGACAAAAGGATAAAGCAGGGGTTAAATAATGCTATAGTGGACAAAAGGATAAAGCAGGAGTTAAATAATGCTATAGTGGACAAAAGGATAAAGCAGGGGTTAAATAATGCTAAAGTGGACAAAAGGATAAAGCAGGAGTTAAATAATGCTATAGTGGACAAAAGGATAAAGCAGGGGTTAAATAATGCTATAGTGGACAAAAGGATAAAGCAGGGGTTAAATAATACTATAGTGGACAAAAGGATAAAGCAGGGGTTAAATAATGCTAAAGTGGACAAAAGGATAAAGCAGGAGTTAAATAATGCTATAGTGGACAAAAGGATAAAGCAGGGGTTAAATAATGCTATAGTGGACAAAAGGAAAAAGGATAAAAGCAGGGATAAAAGCAGGAGTTAAATAATGCTATAGAGGACAAAAAGATAAAGCAGGGGTTAAATAATGCTATAGTGGACAAAAAGATAAAGCAGGGGTTAAATAATGCTATAGTGGACAAAAGGATAAAGCAGGGGTTAAATAATGCTATAGTGAACAAAAGGATAAAGCAGGGGTTAAATAATGCTATAGTGGACAAAAGGATAAAGCAGGGGTTAAATAATGCTATAGTGGACAAAAGGATAAAGCAGGGGTTAAATAATGCTATAGTGAACAAAAGGATAAAGCAGGGGTTAAATAATGCTATAGTGGACAAAAGGATAAAGTAGGAGTTAAATAATACTATAGTGGACAAAGGATAAAGCAGGAGTTAAATAATACTATAGTGGACAAAAGGATAAAGCAGGAGTTAAATAATGCTATAGTGGACAAAAGGATAAGGCAGGGGTTAAATAATGCTATAGTGGACAAAAGGATAAAGCAGGGGTTAAATAATGCTATAGTGGACAAAAGGATAAAGCAGGAGTTAAATAATGCTATAGTGGACAAAAGGATAAGGCAGGGGTTAAATAATGCTATAGTGGACAAAAAGATAAAGCAGGGGTTAAATAATACTATAGTGGACAAAGCATAAGGCAGGGGTTAAATAATGCTATAGTGGACAAAGGACATTAAAAATATCCTAGGCATAAAAAATAAAAAATAATAATATGAGGCAAGGAAACTAACAGAGATCACAAGTAATTTCTGTTGTTGTTTGTTTAAATCAATGATAATCTGCTTACACTCCTAGCTTTGTAAAACTTAATCTCGTCATGAAACAGACATCTAAGCCTCGATTTGGGATGGACAGAGTATTACGACAAATCTTTGGACCCATAAAAAAGGCAAAAGTGGGGAATGGAGAGTGAGAAGCAACAACAAAATTCATAATCTGTTTAAATCACCACTGATCACTGGCATCTTGAGAGCAAATAGACTGAGGGTATATTGAGAGAATGTCAAATGACAGAGAAGTGAAAACTGTGTACACAATGGAGATGAATGGTTGTAGACCATGAGGCAGACCAAGAGGACGATGGAGAGATAATGTCCAGACAGACCTGTAAACACTTGCTGTCACCAACTAGATAAAAAAGCCCAAGCAGAGAGATGAATGGAGGTGGGTGATATCTGTAGCAATGAACCTCAAGGGCTCGGAATGCTGAAGAAGAAGAAGAACAAGATAACAGTAATTTTGTAACTTTTCTAAACGATAATGATCAACTCACCATCATACATCTGCTTCTGTGCAAGAATGAAGAAATGAAAAGCCTCTGCTCCCCTCCAGGCATTGTCAATAATTTTGGTGTCAGACAGCGAAGAAGCATCTTCCTCCAAAAATCCAGCCAATGCTGAGGCAACCTGGCAACAGCAGAAAGCCACACTATAAACACTATTTAACTGTTCTGTCACTGTGTTTCCAATCAAATTTACCCATTTAAAAAATCTGACTAGGACATGGTTAACCAAACACTGTAAGATACAAAAAATGGGTCAAAGAAAATTATTTTAAACAAATTAAATCAAATAAGTCAATACATACTGTTAGTAGTATTTTGTTTATTTTTTAAAACATATTATCATGTGTGCCTCTACATCTTCAAGGTTTAGTCAGCATATTTCTCAATCCTTAAAGTACTGGCTTCGATTTATGATGACCTAGCAAAACCTTTCTTACCCCAAGACCATTGTGGGTGGTTAAGAGTCACATTCTCCTCAAGGTAGTTATTTAACTAGGGGTACGAATCCCCAGGCGGCGTCCGTGGCTAAGGCGTTGCGAGTCTGACTCGTAATTCAACGTACCGCGATCGAAACCTACGTGGGCTGCGTGGATTTTTATCGTGGTATGGGACGTCGCAGGTCGACCCAGCCTCAAATGGGTACCAGGATGGGCTGTCCTGGGAAAGTAAAGACGGCTGGCGTAATGCTGACCACATTACCCACCAAGTGCCGATTGGTCTGTAAAAATATGGGTGCTCTTCCCATATACCCGATGCGCCTAAGGGCGTGTAAAGGGATCTTTACTTTACTTTTTTTACTATGAATCCCCAGGCAAAACACAACCGTTCTAGAGGAGCAGACCTCAAAAATGCACCTGGTGCACCACTCCGCTCTGCCCTCTGAGGGAGGAAAGAAACAGCAGGAGTGCTGAACAGTCTTAGGAGTGGAATGGAAAAAACAAGTACGCTAAGCACCCTAAATACTGGAAACTATCGTGAAGGCACAGAGACAGGACGTGACGATACAGATGCCCTAACTACTCATGCTTAGGTCATGCTTAGAGTCATTGACAGTTCGGGGTGGTAAGCAATCCCCAGACACCACAATGCCGTAAATTTGCATGGCACTGGGCCAAAGGACAAAAGCTGATGTACCACTGGATTGATAACAACAATGACAACAACATGGTAATTTAGAAACAGACCAGTCTCATGCCGGAGTCACACTATGGAACAGCTTGCATAACAACACAATATTCTCAAAGACAGCAGTATGCACTGAAGTCAATCAGAACTGCAGAGTTTAACACTTTCACCGGAAAAAAATTCTTCAAAAATGTTTTTCATTATTTTTATATAGAGACTTACAAAGAAATAATCTCTGAAACTCTACCCGAAGAAATCAGAGGACAAGAAGAAAAAGCAGAAGTTATTTAGAGTTTTGGTTTGTTTTTATAAAGATCCAGGGGCTGAAACCTATGATCACTGAGCGGACAGGCACGTCTGCTAGCTACTGCATTATCTCGGCCCCCAAATCATTTTAAAAAAAGATGGATTTTTTATATTTAGAGTCTGCGCTACATATCGGGTTGAATGGTACTTGTCTGAAGCAAGTTAAAGAATTTACATTTCCAGGAAGTATATTTTTGCAGGATGGAAGAAAAGATCGGGAAATAGAAAAGTTTATTCTCGCAGAATGGAAGAAAAGATCGGGAAATAGAACCAGGATGGCAACGAGCCAGTGCACTTATATACCAACTGACACTGTTATTAAGACATCCAAATATAAGTATGAGCGCCAAGAAACAGATTATAAACATCATTTTTATACCAACACTGTACTACCAATGCCAGACTTGGACATTATCAAAGGCTAACCTACGTAAAATTAACACCTGTAAAATCAGATGCCTGGCAAAAGCTGCCAACTTAACCATCCGAGACAAAGTAAGAAATGATATTTTCAGACAGACTGTAGAACAACACCATGCAGCAAATTCATTGACACACAGAAAATCAAATGGTTTGATCAATTAGTAAGAATGCAACCAGAACAACTACCAACGCAGTCGCTACACATGCAAAGATCTGAAGTGAAAAGCAAGAGGCCATCCTAGGAGAATATGGACTGATGACATTAAAGAGCTTATACATCAACATGGAATGACAACAGCCATTGCTGCCCATCAAGCAATGGATCGCAAAATGTTCCTCCCCACAATGCTTAATGGCAGAAGTGGAAATTGATGAAGATGTTGATGAATCTGCACAAAAGCAATTTATTACATGAAGGCAAGTAATCATTAAGTACAAATGAGGCAAAGAAATACCTGATTTCCTTCCCTTTGACCAAGAAAACAGGTTTTGTTGACAGCAACAAAAAGTCATCATGCGTTTATCATAAAGTCACAACCACAAATAATATCTCACTAAATTTATTTTCTTTGCAAATATAATCAAACCCACCATGTCTACACACTATGTAGCTGCAACCATACCAACATACTTGCATCCCCATAAGGGACACATTTTTCATTATTTTAAAGCCCTACCCTGGTTGTTGCCTGGGAACCCTAATATAACCTAATAGCTGAACAGGGTTTCTGGGACCTCTCTACAGGTGATCCTCATCTGGATGATGGCACCTTGTGTCATCGTTTGTTTATTGCTCTCAGTGTGATGTTCTGGTGGGGTAAACAGTCAGTCAGTCAACCATACTAAAACTGTTATTTAGGCATATTTGCCACTGCCCAAAGATGTTGTGTCACCAAAACCTTGTAAAAGTCTAAAAAGTCACCTGAAAACCATTACAGTGGTTTTCTAAAATAAACCATAGGCCGCAGAAATGTAACCCTAGAACCCTAGAACTCATGAATCAACTGTCTAACTTCTTGTTTATTTTTCAGGTGGATTTGGTCTCTTTGAGAGCCATGGACTTCTGATTTACCACTGTGGTTATGAAGCCATCTGGCTTGTTCCCACTTCCTGCAAATGAAAGCTGTGGGGTACATAGGGAAAGTTGGGCTGCATGATAGCTTTCATCAAGGCTACCTGCGTTATGATTTAGATATTCTGAGAGAATGATCAGAGAAGCAGAAGAAGAAAATGACTATTTATTCCTTCATTTATCTGCAGATTCGCTCCAGGGGGTGCAGGTGTGTTTGGAAGTGAATATGCAGACAGACTGGCTGGTGTTGCACCATTGGTGGTGACTTTATACATGACAAGCTAGAGGTGGTCAAGGCCCTTTGGGAGCTAGGGAACAAAGCAAAATCACAAACAGATCATTACAGTGTGGGAAGAATGGCACTGCAGCGAGTGACTGGGTGATCAGACAGACACTCTAAACTCAGAGGCAAGACAAAGAAAGTAAGTAAAGGTATCTTTTCCACGCCTTTAGGCATAGAGGGCATAAAGGGGTAGACCTATATTTTTTATAGACCAATCTGCACAAGACAGGAGATGTGGTCAGCAACACGCCAGCCACCTTTACTTCCCGGGACTGCACCCAGGACCCACTCAAGGCTTGGTCGACCTAGGAGTCAAGGTCTTTTTTTTAAAGTCCAGCTCCGCCAGGGAGCGAACCCATGACCTACCGATCCGCACACGAGCGACTAGCCGCTACGCCATGGTGATTCCCAGAGGGGAGACAAAACAGACATATAATCAAACTACTATTGGTATCGGTGGAACTAAAACTCTCTCAGCTTTTGATTTGAAGACAGAGCAGTAACGTCCCGAGTGATGTGATGCTGGTTCTTGACTCTGCTCAACTCGTTCATCTGCTTGGTCAGATATGTCTGACAGCAGACAGTACTATCTGTCCCCTGTCCTCTGTTAATACCGAATGTTGGAGGGTGTAGACCAGTGCTATTTAACTAAGTTTACTCAGAGGCCAAAACTGTGAACATGGGGATAGTCATGGACCAGAAGCCTGAGATCCAGCCAAAAAAGACCACTAATACAATATTATTACTGGCAGTTATTTGTCTGCCACTTTCTAGGTCACCACAGGCCAAATTTGGCCTGTGGGTTGCCAGCTGAATAGCCCTGGTGTAGACCAAACCTGATTTCTCCCTTTTACCATCAGCTTTAAAGGAGGAGTGCATTAGGGAGGATACTGGCCTTTTCCTAGTACAAGGAAATGCAACCTGAAAGTTTAATCTTATAGCAGGGCAAACCAGGTACTTATTCTTGGTTAATCCTTAGCTTCCATCTCTACCCGGCCTAAATGAGTACCAGGAAATATCTACAGAAAAAAAGATGGCCAGCAAGTTGACCACATAACACCACTGAGTGCTGTGATCCTTCTTTTTCTTGGGCATTTTGGGCCCTTAAGGTTCACTGCTGCAGATATCACCCACCTGTGTTCATCCTTGTGACTAGTCCTCTCTTTCCAGATGGTGACGCCAAATGTGTTTGCAGGTCCGCCTGTATATTATCTCTCCACTTTTTGGTCTGCCTCGTGGTCTACGACCATTCACCTCCCTTTTGTACAGTTTTTATCTCTCTGTCGTCTGACATTCTCTCAGCGTGTCCAGTCATTTCAGTCTATTAGCTTTCATGATGCTATTGCTCACATGAGTGCTGCGACTGGTCTTTAAAAAACATGCATTTAGTAAGTAAAAGTAAAAAAGTAAAGATCCCTTTTCACGCCTTTCGGCGCATCGGGCATATGGGCAGAGCGTCCCATATTTTTACAGACCATCAGCTCTCTGTGGGTAATGTGGTCAGTATTAGGCCGGCTGTCTTTACTTTCCCAGGACAGCCCATCCTGGTACCCATTTTAGGCTGGGTCGACCTGCGACGTCCCATACCACGATAAAAATCCACGCAGCCTGCAGTGGGTTTCGATCGCGGTATGCATAAGCCCAATGCACCAATAGGGGTATAAATAGCCGTCCCCTTTCTTTTTTTAAATTATCCTATTTTTTTAAAGACTGTTACTGAATCTTATTCTTCTTCCTTCACCCGCTGTGAATTCTGGTAGAAGGTCCGGGTAGTTTGTCCATTTGGACTTTTGGCTTTTACATGGACCTGAGTTTTGCGTGTGCATCCGTTTTACTGGCTTATTTGTTTGCTGTTCCCTGCCTCACCGGCAGATGTACTCCGACTTCGAGGGATGTTACTGAACGTTACCTGCTTATTTTTTCCTTTAGCTCTGGAAGTCAGTTTCATGGCCTCGTGATACTGCTCTACTAGAAGTCCCTCAAGTACAAACATCTTCTTGATCGTCAAAGGGTTTTTGTGGCACCTCCTTTGGTCATCAGCAATCTGAAAACACATATTTACAATTTCAATTTGCCACTGGTGCTTTTAATACATCAATACTGTTTTGATATCAGTATAGGTGCAGCAGGAGCTACTGTGGTGTAGCACCTAGACACTCAGCTATGGATCAGAAGGTCATGGGGGTTTAAGTCCTGACGGTGCCAGACATTTTTGTTCTTCTTCAAAGATTACCTTGGCTCCCAGATTGACCCAGCCGTAAACGAGTACCAGGTAAAGCCCTGAGAAGTAAAGGCGGCCGTCGTGATGTTGACCACATCACCCACACCCATCAAGTGTTGATTAGTCTATAAAATATAGATTTAGCCCAATATGCCTGCAGGTGTGGAAAAGGATCCTTTACTTTTACTTTACTACAGTGAGCTTGCAGGCTTGCATGTAAACTAATGACTATGAGTTCAAATATCAGTCAAGGTAAAGATTTGTCCAAGTTTAGACATCTTACATAGTGTGACGAAATGACCTCAGTGGTCTCAGAAGTTATATTGTGTTTAATAATTTCTTATGTTCAGAGAGGGACAAAGAATTATACTCAATATGCACTGAGCCTAAAATAGTTCTAAAACCACTACAAGGGATTTAAAAATTGTTTAACCTTTGTTTTCCTGTCGCGCGCCAGACAAAGCAACCCCGCTTTGTGTAATCTTACCTAATACTATCTTAGATAGAGATTCATTTCACCAGCCAGTGTCATATAATTATCTCCTGCCCGCAGACTGTAGGGGCCAGCAACTGGTAACTTAGTATCACACCTGAGATTATCTCCCCTGAACCCGACCTTAGTGTCATAAATGTTACATAACACAGACTGAGTGAGGCCTTTGAACAGAGCAGATCAGGGGAATTAAGTGGACTGGTAGACATGATGGCGTCCAGTGGCTGGAGTTTCACATATGTCAGTGAAATTCTCAGGAGAACAGATGTTTGCCAATTAGGAATGTCTGATCTTGGTCAAGGTCGTACTGTAGGCAGTTTACTTTGAGTGACAGACCCATTGATAGCTATGTTGATCTGCAAGGTACCTCAGGGGCGTGGCTTAGGTCATCTCCTGGAGGGTTGGGTGGAACCTAGCAAAGGGAGGAGTTTAACCTTGCAGACAGATAGAGGTATTAATAAGACTAGCCTCTGGAATTCCCGTCATAATTGCTGCCACGAGCAACAAACAGAGGTCGACATTAGAGGTAATTCTAATTGTTTGATTCTGGTTTGGTGATTGCTGGAATGTCCCAGCTTTCATGTGACGATCAGTCTTTTCTGAGAACAGAAGTAGAGGATCATCACGGGCACGAGACTACATTGTGTTAGAACTCGGCCAGCTGGGAAACAGGTGGGAACCAGGGAACCAGTTGGAAGAACCAGGTGGAAGAACCAGGAGAACTGGGCGGAAAGGTTGGAACAGCTAAGAAAGGACTCAACACAAGGACTCCCAGAGGTTCCACTTTCTAAAAAGTTATGTAACATGTATTTATGTAACTAAACACCACCATTATCATTTCATTCTAATCTTAGGGGCTCAGTTATCAAGCCGAAGCATCCCATTACCACCATACCATCTCTAGTGACTAAAAATATAAATAACTAAAATGATTGCTAGGTTAATAAATCAACTATATGGTTTTATCCTGCATCAGTTTTTATAATTCCAAGTGTGTTTGTTCTTACATGTTTGATTAAACTGTTAAGATATAATAGCATTTGGTGGGAGCTCATTAAATAATATTAATTCTTTACCAAGGGAAGGTAGACGGAAAGGGTCAACTGCCCTGTCTAGTAAGTCATTCAATATAATAATTTAGACATCTAAAACCCTTTTCCTTCTCTTGTGGGTACCAAGTGCAGCTAATGTTAAAATAATTAACGAGCCAATATGACTGTTTTCTTGGATATCCAGGACTTTGTCTGAGAACAACATAGCCCAGATATTAGTTCAGTTAACCTGGTGGAGGGGATGTGTTGAGAGGAAAATGCCCTACTCAACATATAAAATTCAGTTAAACCCAAATCCATGGAACCCACGACCTATTACATCACACTAAAGTTTAGTAATCTCAAGGGAAGTGGGCCGTTATGTCACACATAGAACACTAGGAAATGTTTTGGGATGTAAAGGCAGCCAACATGAGACTTAATCTGTTAAAGAAAAAACATGGCACAGACAATATAATACATGGCACAGACTGGGTGGGAAAAAAAACATGGCACAGACAGTACAAAATATGGCACAGACTGGGGAAAAAATGTGGCACAGACTGGGGGGAAAAAAAAGCATGGCATAGACTATAATAGAAACCTGTTCTGCTGTATGGCAGTGAATCTTGGAATACCAGTGAACACATTAGGAAGAATTTAGAAGAAACAGAGACGTGGTTTTTTAGACGAATGTTACAAATACCTTGGACAGTCAGAGTAACTAACAACGATTGCTTGAAAGTAGCTAATGAAAGTAGATCTCTATATACAAGAATAATAAAGAGACAAGCACAGTTCTTAAGCCACATAATGAGAAGAGAGACGTTGGAGAACACTGTGACAACTGGAAAGATCAGATGAAAAATGGGTAGAGGCAGACCAAGAGAGATGATGCTGGATAGGCTGAAATGATGGCATGGAGATATCATCAAGAGAGCTGTTTAAGGCAAGCAGATAGTAAAAAATATGGTCCAGAATGTATAAAAGATGTCATTGTTAGTATCTGTTGAACTGGTAAGACCAAACTAGAGCAACAGAAACAGTATGAAACAACCGCACTACACTACCTTAAACATCAATTTTGCAGCCTCCATGAAGTGCCCAGCCTTCCTGTACAGCTCAATGGCATTGAGGACTTTCTTCTTCTCCAGCAGATGCTGGGCATACTTGGCCAGCAGCATGTCAATCTCCTGCACATTGTGGGTCTTTGCCAGCTCTATGGCAGTGTTCCACTGGTTCAGGTGCACACAGCAATCTATTGCAGCCTTCACCCGGTTACACTAAATTTGTGACAAATTGTACAGTTATTTTAATCATGAGGACACAAGCAATATATTGCACAATTTACTGCCTGGCATACCTCACTCAAATTTGGAATACAAATATATTTAAGACATCAATATCAGCTCAAACAGATGTCATACAAACAGGGTTAAAGTAAGTGATCAGTCCAGCTATTTAAGTAGCAATTTTGATTGATAGGGAAACGAGGAAAGAAATTATGACAGACATTTGCAAGATAATAACAGCTTTTAAAGGCCTGAACAAAATATAAGTTAGGGGCATATTCTTTATAGGACACTGCAAGCCCCCAACATTTGTTGGCTGTTTGAAGTTTTGCTAAACAATTTTGCGTTCAGTAGTTTCAATAATGCAGAAACAAACAATACATTGCACAATTTTTTGCCTGGCATATTTCGCTGTATCTTGTCAGGTGGATTACTGCAGAGTTAATCAACATATAATGAAGCACAAAATGAATCCTTTTCTTGCTGAAATGCATAAACCACACTGTTGAGTTGCTGTACATCTATCCGCTGCAAATTCAAAATTAGTCACATGATTACCATGGTAACTTGAAATTGATCACGTGATCTTTCTGTTTACATAACATAGGTGATTTTCCTTTTCCTTTTTTTTTTTAAATACAGCCTCAACCACTTTTAGAAAACGTCCATTCAGTGTGTGGTAAATAATCCTGAAAGCATAATCGTTGTCAATTACATGTCCAGAGTCAAACAAATTCATGTCAGACAATAAACTTCAATGTACTGTTTGTGTCCACATTATTTAAATTTACAAAGGGAAAACATTGTTTTGAAATTCAGTAGTTTGCAATTGCTGCTGAACAATAGGCTCTTGATATCTTTGTCAAAACCAAAGCACTCTGCTGCCCAATCATGGGATTACAAACCATGTTCACAACCCATCAGCCATAGATGATGATGAACAAAACATGGAACTCTTAATTTATACAGTTTTAAAACTAAGCCATGCATTTTCAATTCTAATGTTATTTAAATTTTTTTTAATGCCATTAAAAGTTGAAGAACCATATAAGAGAGAGAATAAAAGGTAAAAAAAAATTTTTTTAAACAAAAAAATTTTATTTGAGAAAGAAAAAATTATGAACACTAAATTAGATAAATTTTTAAAAAAGGTGTTAAAATAAGAGAAACGTCTGGACAACCGTCGGTATCAACAGCTATAAGACAAAATATGATAGCAATATAATTGACCCATCCTGAGAAGAAGTCGACTGAGAACCACTAAAAGGGTAATGAAATGGGAAATAAACTGATGCAATAAAACCTCAGATGAATGTTAACAAGAGAGGCCCCAAAAAATGCTAGACTGGATTCTATCAGTGGTCTTAGAAAGACCAAACAGAACAGAACATAATGTGCAAATAGACTGCAAGCCCTACATGATGTATGTGACACAACAGGAAGATCGTGATACTTCATTATATCATGTCAGGTGATATTACAGAAATGAGATCAACATATAATTAAGTCCCATGCAAAACCTGATGTATGAAAGACTCTACCCCTTGATTTCCCTCCACAGCACAATTTGCTCTTTTACTTCTCACATTTGATCAGAGCAAATTTAAGAAATCTGGCTTTTCCAGTGGTCACTACTAGTATTTATATTGCCACTTTGAAAGTAATTCATTTACGATTTTTCATCATGATTTTTTTAAATCAAAAATGAATGATTATGAGTGCATTATTACACTGTACACCTCACCAAATAAGAAAGGTTTGGAGGCAAATGAGATGTGGTTCTTAAGAAGAATGTTGCAAATACCTTGGACTGCCAAAATAACTAACAATGATTGCCTGGAACTGGCCAATGAAAGTAAAACATTATATACAACAATGAGAAGGAGACACACAAAGTTCTTTGGTCATGTGATGAGAAAAGAAACAGTGGAAAATATTGTAATGACTGGAAAGATCACTGGTAGAAGAGTCAGAGGCAGACCAAGATAAATCATGGCGGAAGGCTTAAGACAGTGGCATAGAGGAATATCATCCGTGGAATTTATCCAGAGCATTAAAGACCAAGATCTGTAGAGATGCAAAAATGCCTATGCCAGCTGGTAAGGCACTTGATGAGGATGAAACCTTACCATGGAAGTCATAGATTAACTGTTACCAAACAGATGATTAAGTTTCACCTTGAAGCATGTATGAGACACATTCTGCATGCTGTCATGTCAAACTGTATAAGAGCCTCTTTGTCTCTCCAGCTTCTTTCACCTTCAACTTTTCTGATTTATTCTGGTTATCACCTCCTCAAGAAAAGCCCAAAGAATGTAGACTGTCTTTTTTTCTGATGCAGGTAACTATTAGGAGCGTTCATTTGAAACCCATATATGCACATGCCACACTGCACATAACTGTGTGCATTGAACACAACCATGTCATAGTCATGTGATAAGTAACATAACCTAACCCTTGACCCATTAGGATGCATCGATGGAAGCACTAACATATAAAACCTGCCATCTTTCACTGTCTTCTGCTCAATGAATAAGTGTATTTCATTTCTTGATGTTGTCATTCCAGGTAGTCCTTTGCCCTCCTCTCCTTGGACTACCCCCCAGTGTTAATTGAAATACAGTCTTTACAATCGAATCATGTCTCACCATGTGCCCGAACCAAGTTAGCTTGCCACATCTCACCACTACCAGGAGAGGCTCCTGATGTCCTCAAATTTGTATATTTTGTCTCTGACATATTTATTAGTTTTAAGTTCTAAATAACTAATTCGTAAAATGCATCTATGGCATTTACATTCCAAAACCTGAATCAGTGTGATAAGTACTAACCAGTGAATAAAAGAGAGAGCAGATGCTTATCGTCTCATAATGCATAGGTTCTGTTTCTGACCTCTGAGAAAATGGCCTGGTTGATCCAAAGAAGCACAAAGAGTGGTGATTCAGTTTCTTTAATTTTAGGGATTTAACCAGTGAACATTTACTGAAGAATGTACGTAGCATTCAGTAACAAATGTGTGTTGATGACAACAGTAGTAGATTAGACATGAATGTTTTAGAAAGGACATGAGTTTATGGCAAATCTTCTACGGTCTGGTCAAGCGCATAATGTTGCAACAGGACAAAAACCATAACCATAATTGATGCAGCAATACGGGGAACCATTGCTGAAGCATAAATTTGCTGGCAAAAAGAATTTTAAATATCGTTTGCGACAATTCAAAAGGTTGTTCATAAGAAGGTAGTTCATTTCGGGTGGTGTGTTCACAGTGGGTACCATAGATGTTGACCAATCACCAAAGATGAGTAACCACAATCCTTTCTTGTGGACAACATTTGCGCCTTACCTAAGCAATGGGATGCTTACCTTAATGCCTACAGTGACTTTTTATGACAAAACCATGGTACATAATTTTTTTTAAACTACTTCAAGCCACAAACCAAGAAACTTTCTGCAGTATGATTACCAAGAGAAGATGGAAATGGCTTGGTCACGTTATGAGAATGACTTCTGATATACCTGCCAAAACAGCTCTCACATGTACACCAGAGGGAAAGAGAAAACAGGGGCGCCCTAAAACAACATGGAGACGAACGATGGAAAGTGACCTGAGTGCGGCATCTTTGACATGGAAAACTGCACTGAAGATTGCATAGGACAGGAAAGCATGGAAAGTCCTCTCTGAAGCCTTATGTGCCACTAGGCATAATGAGAACTGATACTGACTGATGATACATAATTCATTTACAATGAATGCTTTATTTAATTCTTCTACACCTTTTAATGTTTCTTTAACGTTTTCTAATAAAAAATTGAAAGAGGACTTCAAATGAATGCTCCTTTTGGTTCTCATTATAAATTAAATTCTTACAAGACATCTCTATACCTGTAACAATATGCCCATACAATTCTCATTATTCTTCTATAAAACCACATCTCTGCAGTCTCCACATAATTTCTTACTAATCGGCTGACTGTCTATGGTTGACTTCTGTACATCAGGACAAGTTTTAAGTATCTTTAAAGAACTCATTTCCTCAACTTAAAACATGCAACAGATAATATCCTACCTTAGTATAAGCCTCAACTGCCTGTTCTGACATTCCAACATTTGAAAACATGGAAGCAATTTCCTGTTAATAAACAAACAATGCCTAAAATTAATTCCAAAACCTTGGTGGCGAAAAAAATAAGACAATTTCATTTTCAAAGCCTACTGGGCATATTTTCATCACCATCATCATCCTGTTTTGCCATTATATGTCGCATAAGTCTCACAGTCTAGTCCTACATTCCACTATATCATGTGCAACCTGGCTGACATCATAGATAGAATCCAGTCCAGCACCTCTGGCCAAAGATCGAGCTACAACTTATACAAACATTCTTTTCAGAAGTATATAAAGCCTTGGCAGCAATCAAAGATTTTCATTCAGCGTTTTTTAGAATTATGTTCTGTTTACTTTAAAAGCATCTCAACATAGCTAGACTATTATAAACAAATAGAATCTAATACAGTATATTAAAGGAGCATGAGAAGAGAAAGAAAAACATGTCCAACTTACTGGCAACAGTTTATGATTTTCTGGCAAGGCCGAAACCATCTTCTGTAAGCCGGTGTAATCTTCTAACATGTAGTAGCACTCCGCTAGTCTCTCTTGGTTACGTCCTTGAACGTAATATGTTACTGCCTATATTAGATAATAAATAATATTAATATAATGATTCATATATTAGATAATAAATAATAATAATATAATGAAAATATATATATAAGATAATAAATGATAATAATATAATGATTAATATATATTAAATAATTAATAATAATTTGATCATTTATATATATTATATAATAAATAATAAGAATAATATAATGGTTATTATTGAGAACACCAATACAAAAGACACTGTTTTGCCATTTGCAATCTAAACAAGTCATGGAGAGGTCTCAAATAATTTTTAAACACAGGAACATACACACACACAAACAACAGACTTCTCATGTAGATATTACTCAGACAGCAGCAAATGAGAAGAGAAAGAAGACTGATCCAAATGATTCTTCTTTTTGTCTATTCTGCATTTTCCCCAAAAAAGGCAGTTGTGTTGCGGCTTACAGCTAGGATGTCATCTAAGCACCTTTTAGCTTAACACATTCGACTGCATCTAACCCTAAGCTGGCTGTCTTTGTTGTCATGCTTGTTAACAGGCAGTGGGTGTATGATCGATTTCCCCACAATAAAACTCACTGCCATTACCACCTGTATATTCTGGGTCATACCCTGAGAATGGAGGATGGCAGAGTCTCTAAGGACATTCTCAATGGTGAATTCAAGACGGGTAGAAGATGTTGAGGCCGACCTCTACTAGGATATAAAGTAAGTAAAGGTCCCTTTTCCACGCTTTTAGGTGTATAGGGCATATAAGGCTAGACCTATATTTTTATAGACCAATCGGCACAAGATGGGTGATGTGGTCAGCATCACGCCGGCCACCTTTACTTTCCCGGGACTGCACTCGGTACCCACTCAAGGCTGGGTCGACCTGGGAGCCAAGGTCATTTTAGAAATAAGTGAGACTCCGCCAGGGAGCGAACCCATGACCTTCCGATCCGCGACGAGCGTCTAGCCGCTTGGCCACGGTGACTCCCCACTAGGATATAAAGATGTGTGCAAGCAAGACATCAATGATGAAGGCATTAAGGTGGACTCAAGGAACAAAATGCCACGGACTGTGTTGTGTGGAGGGGGTACATCAAGAAAGGAATGATAATGAAGGAAGAAATGATGGCAGAAAGGATGAGAGCTGGGCGTCCGAGAAGAAACAAACTAAACACAAATGTTAACAACCATGGTCCTGAAATCCTATGCTATCATTGTGGAAGACTTTTGTTAACACGAGCGGGTCTTGCTAGTCCCACTTGCCATGGCCATGGGCTGTGAGTCCTATGCCTCGTAGCGCAATATAAACACTATCGTCTGGAAAGACGGAAAAGTGTCAATCATCAATCATCAATACTACTTTTGCAGTGTAGGTAGGGGGGGGGGGGGGGGGGGGGGGGGGGGAGAGGGGTGTTCCTCAGGAGTTAGGGCAGCATACTGGCACAAACGAAGTCCTAGCCATTTCACTGCCGTAAGTAAAGTAAAGTAAAGTAAAGGACTCTTTCCATGGTACTTGTGCATCAAGTTTTTGTGTGTTTGGTTTCATATGCTCAGGTCAGATCATCAGGTGAGCTGCCTTAACGAACTTGCAGGTCTGTTACAGGTCCCTCGTGGTTCCCCAGGCCAGGTGTCTCTTTGTAGTTGTAAGTCTAGTGGGCAGGCCTGCAGAATGTGTTCGGGTGTTTGTGTTTTTATCTGACATGCATACTGTTAGACTGTACGCTCGTTATTTTATGCAAGTGGTGGTTAAGCCTGCAGTATCTTGTTATTGGATGGACCATTGTTGTATATTGTCTTTTGTTGAGTCGGTTGATGGGGTCTTGTGAATATTTACTGTTAGGGTGTTCTCTCCACAATTCTGTATATTTCTCCTTGACAACTGATTTGATTTCTACTAATGGCAATGAGAAGGAGAAAACTGGAGTACATCATGACAGTAGGAAAGACAAAGGGAAGGAGAGGCAGAAGGAGACCGAGAGAACAGATGCTGGACAGTTTGACATCATGGCATGTATAACATTTGTGTCAGAGCTGAATGAAAGTAAATGAGACAGAAGGTTGTGGATAGACATGACTACCAACACACCATGGCATGGACTTTAAGAAGAAGAATGACAATAAATGGATACAAGGTGCAGGACCCATATTTTTAAAGAACAATCTGCCCCTCATGGCTCATGTGGTCAAAATCATGCCTGTAACCTTTACCCAAAAGATCCTGGTTCCAACTTTATGCTGGGGTGATCTGTGAGAACTAGAATTAATCACTGCTCTATTACATAAGAAACCTACTGGTTTTACCTTTCCTTTTGAGTAAACAAGGCAGGTCGAGAAAGGCATCATTATGCATAGGCAACATATGGTCTCTACAACACTGCCCAGGCTTTGGGTTATGGAGAAGAGGAACTTCAACATGTCCTGTGAGTCCCATGCCTCCTCATAGCACAATATAACACTATCGTCTGGAAAGACGGAAAGGTGCCAATCAATCAATCAATCAATTACCTAAAACAGGACAATTGACCTATCCACCCAAGACAGCATAAACAGTGATGTAACAATCTCAGTACCTGACTCCATTTCTGGCGGTCAGCGTAGTAATCACCCACAGCATTCCAGGCTTCCTCCAGCTGCACATCATCTCCACCACCTCCATTCTTCAGCAAATGTATCACCTTGAACCAGTCCCCGAGCTTCTTTCTCAGACTCACAGCCAGGTCCCTGAAGTGAACATCTCACATTAGTATCTGGACTTGAATTTACATACATGAGAAGACAACCAGAGCTAAATAAGCTCCCATATTTCTGACCTTATAAGAAGGAGACAAACACTATTATATGGCCACATAAAGAGAAGAGAGACATAAGATAACATAATGACAAGTGAAAAGATCAGTGGAAAGAGAGGTAGAGGCAGACCAAGAGAGATGACGCTGGATAGGCTGAAGCCATGGCATGGAGCGATTTTATCAAGAGAGCTGTTCCAGGCAACCAGGAATCATGATCAGTGTAGATGCAGGAGCACCTACGCCAACTGGCAAGGCACATGATGATGATGGTTTCTCGCCTTAATAGCTTGAAGTAAGCATCTCACATGAGTATTTAGACTTTAATTTAGTTTTAACACATGAGAAGACAAGAGTTTATTCTTCAGACTAACAGAAGACAGCTGAAATAAACATGCTGCTTTAGTATCTGGAAATTATTTAGCTTAACAGAAAAAAACATGAAAAGAGAATCAGATATGAAACAATCCAACAATTTTCTTTCTCACACTAAAAGCAAGATGTTATGTTAGTTGTTGAACATGAATTCTGATTCTCAGTCAGTACTGTGGAAGGTTCAAAATAGACAAATATGGCAGGAGTGAATACCAAGTATCAGCAGGCCAACATTCCAGGGACTCAACTGTGCTGTCCAGGATATGCAGGAGTGTGAGTGAATGAAAGAGCAGATTTTCTGTTGACAAAAGTGACAGCTACAGGAACACTCATACTGGACAAAGGGAACATGCTGAAGACTATTGTGTGAATGAGAAATTAGGAGTGGATCTGGCAAGGAGGAACATATGTGAGAAAGAGAACAACATGTACATAATCAGTGTGCTTAAGAAAAGTTTGTATCTACATTTTCTTTTTCTTCTTCACGTTCACTGGATGTAAACTCTGGTAGGAAGTTCTGGTTGTCCGTCCACCTCTAGACTTTAATCTTGTTCCAGAGCCTGAGCGTTGTTTTTATCGAGCTGACTTAATTGTTTGCAGACCATTGGTTTCTTGTTTTTCAGACAGATGCACCCACAGTGGAAACATCTACATTTTAAGATATTTGCTGCAGGAGATGGAGCATCTATGAGTGTGTGTGATATTGATTCTTAAACCAGTAAATCAATTAAATGAACTATGAATTTGTTTGAATAAATGAAAAGATGATCAGCGATGAACCAGTCCCTGATTTTCTTTCTCTGACTAACAGCAAGATCCTTAAAATGAACATACCACATTAGGACATAAGTTAGTAGGAAACATTTCTTAACATTTTCAGTCATATTGTTCTCTTATCTAGCTTCTGAGCTGAGTGCATGGTGAGACCTTATGAACTGTGAATTTCATGAGGGGTGCTATTCTGTCTATGCTCCAGGTGATTTGTATTATAAACTGTATATTCAGACAATGTCGGGTGGCCTGGTTGCCACAGAACTGGCAGTATGCCTTATGCAGTAATTTGTGTGCACATGCTCTTTAAAGTCGAGAACTGCTGCTGCCTGCTTAACTTCTCACATGGAACACTTACAGTCAATTTGGATGGGTTTTGCTGGCATGGTAATGGAGCAGTTATGAGGCGACCCGTTTGATGTGAGATTATAATGACTGATAACTGATTCTGCTTCTTTAATCCACTTTAATCAGCTGTTAAATAACTACATGTGACATTTCTGTCTCCGCAAGGTCACTGAAAACACAAGACAAGACACAGTTACGAATACCAGCATTAGAGAGAAAGTTGAAATAAGACCATGTCTGGATTATATTGAAAGACAAAGAATGAAATGGTTCAGCCATCTAGTCAGAATGCAGACAGACCAAACTGTATATGAGACTTTTTACAGCAGAACATCTGGCAGGAAGGCGAGAGGAAGACCAAGAAAGAGATGGATAAATGGTATAGCCAAAATCTGCAAAAAGCTGAACAAATCCATTACCCCAGCCACCGCAGAGGGGCAAAAAATATATAGAAAATCAGGATTCTGGTTTCAGTAAGACGGAAAAAAAAAGAATAAGAAGAAGAAGTCAGCTGTTACATTAACTCATTCTATCCTGTTGGTTGTTTAGTTGGTTAATGAATCCTCCGGAAGACTTTTACTCTTAACTCCAATGCTTTGACATTTGTCATTTCAGCCTTAGTGAGGCTGGTATAAAGATTTTTCCCTCAAATCCGGGACTAAAATACTATATTCATGAAGACTGTTGCAGAGCACATACTTTTTGACTGTGCCCACCGTGGTTTGTGTTGTGAACTGTGGCCTGTTGCCACAGAATTTGTCCTGCTTATGCAATAATGCATGTGCAACTACTAAATTATTGTAACTGCTGTTCTGATGATGAACTACAATTCCAGCGCACTTCATTTGAAGACAGTGATGAATAATCAATCTGCATTTAAAGTATGGATTCCACAATGCTCACCTTCGATCCATATCTAGGTATATTCGCTCTGCATCTTCAAATCTGCGGAAATAGGAAGCCACTTCTGCTTGTTTGATATTTTCATTCTGAAGACAAAAGAAAGGAAGAAGTAAATCATCAAACATGCATTTTATTTTGATTATATATAAGTTAGCCCCTCCCCCTCCCCCCTCCCCCCACCCAAAAAAAAAAAATTATAAAGGACCTCATTACCCCAGAGACACATCGGATATATAAGACCCTCAACTGACTGGTCTAAAATCTAAGAGCTCTGGCCAGCAGGCAAACATCTAGCTGCTCTGCCACCGTGGCTCCTTTTTTACTGCTTGTATTTAAAAAACAAAAAAATCATAGACCTGCGCTATCTGGTAATGCACAAGAAATTATGAACCTGTCATCACTGCTTGTAGTCACCACACAAAAATCCACCACTTTATACAGTATTCAAACCTGGGCCCAGCACTGCTCAGCCAGTCACTGTTCTAACCTTCCATGAGAAAAATTCCCAGTATTTCACAGCCTGAAATCAGCAAAAAGATGCTGAAATGCAACATCTCAGGGTTTATTTAGGCACCAGTGCTATCAAAAGTTTCCATCAACCCCCCTGGTGATGGCAACCATTGCTACAGAGGTTCCATGTTTGACTAATTCCCAGCAGTTACATTAACAGTTCAATTTTTCCTGATTTGTTGCATTAACTCATCACATCATAACTGTTAGTTTTTCTCTTACTGAGTTGTTACATTAACTTATTACATAAAAACTTTGATTCCTCCTGAGTTGTTACATAACTCATTACATGAGAACACTTATTCCTCCTGAGTTGTTACATAACTCATTACATCAGAACACTTATTCCTCCTGAGTTATTGCAATAATTCATTACATCAGAACTCTTATTCCTCTTGAGTTGTTGCATTAACTCATTACATCAAAACTGTTAGTTTTACTCCATCTGAGTTGTTTCATTTACTCATTACATCAGAACTTACCTTCTTATATAAGAACTGTTAGTTTTACTCCTTCTAAATTGTTGCTTAACTCATTACATAAGAACTTTAGACAGCAGACACCTAATTTTTTCGTCCTTTACCACATGCTTCTTAGGGAAGCAGTGGGTCAGTTTTGTCTTTTAACCCTAAAAAACTGGATCCCCAGAACCCACACTAGGACATTATGGTATAATTTGTGTGAATCAAATAAACTTACAGCTCACTATCCAGGAAAAATCGAATGTGCATCAATAAAAATAGATATTCATGTGGGGCTGAGTGGTCTCAAGGCATGGTGACCGCCTCGAGTGCTGGAGGTCCCGGGTTCAGGCCCTGGGGAAGGTTGAGATTTTTTCACATGGACTTCTAGTAATTTTCCCTGGTCTCTGGGTAGTAAGATCCATGTGTATTGCTCCACAGGTAAAAAAAATCCCTTGATAGCTGGAAATTGAAAAAAAAATAGTATAACGCCGCTGCACGGGCAAAATTTTGAGTTAAAAATCTACCCAAAGTATTACAGGATCCTCGCCGGTGCTACGAAGTTTGTGCACTGCGTTGAGATTTTTTGGACTCAGGCTTTAGTTAGAAGTAGAATGGAGCACTTATGGGTTACTACCCTTGTGCCATGATGTTGATCCGTTGTGTAAACCTAAGCCTAAACCTAAACCTAAATATTCATATTATAAAAATTATCCCAAAATTTTAATGACCCTGACCTGAAGGTTTCCCAAACGCTTGACAAACTCAATTCCTTGATAATCTTTACATTTCACAAAGGCCGTCTCTGCAACTTTCAAGTTCAACTGCTCTAAAGCTGCTTCTGCAAGTAACCGCCTGTAATGAATACAATCATTTATCATCAGTTATGATTTATGAATTAGACTAATGGGGGGGGGGGGGGGGGGGGGGGGACAAAATATTGGGAATTAAATGATGACAGAATCACTGTTGTTGTTTGTCCATCGTAAGTGATGATGACCAGTCCTTTCATCCAATGTTGACTGGTTTAGATTTTGTAAGTGTGTAGATGGCTGATAAGGCCAATTCTAGCACTGAAAGTTCTTGAGCAGTGTGGACTGGGAACTGAGGCTGCATCTCTCTGGTGATTTGCTTCAGTGCATTTCCTGGCTTGTCTTTTTTGAATTGCTGCTACAGTTCTAGCAGCTTCATAGGCCACAGCTCCTCGATGAAGAGTGACTTCAAAGGTTTTATGATCAATACAGAAGTCTTTTAGTGAGGTCTTGAGACTGTCCTTGAAAAGTTTTTTCTGTCCACCTTAAGAGCATTTTCCATTTAGTAGCTCACCATAGAAAATTCTATTTTGGCAGTTGGTTATCAGGCATTTGAACCATACGACCTGCCCAGCGAAGCTGTGATTGTTTTAGAATCGAGTAAATACTGGGCAGTCCAGCTCTGTCAAGGACTTCAGTGTCAGGGATCCTGTCTTGCCATTTTATGTTCAGCAACTTTCTGAGCCCTACTGTGGGAAAATCTTTCAGCTTCTTAGCATAATGCTGGTAAAAGGTCTATGTTTTACATGCATAATGAAGTACAGGAAGTACGACAGATTTGTACACTTTAAGCTTCGTCTGCAGGCTGATGCCAGCTCTATTCCAGACTTTTGTACTACTGACAGAATCACTTATGTGGGTACAGGTAGAAAGAAAAAAATACATATCCCAAGAAATTAAGAAGTGAGGAACAGATGCTGGTACTAACCTGAATACATAAATAAAACCTAATTAAAAAATAACTAGAATGATTTTGCACTGAAACCCACAGGGCCAAAGAAATAATGGAAGACAAAAAAATGCATGAACAGAATTACAGATTGCAGTGAATACGATGGGGAAGATTTGGGGTGAGTTGCACTCGATGGGAAAACGTAGAATAACAACGTAAGTTGTTTGAGGGCCTATATCCTTTTTAAAAGGAGATAGTAAAGATTTCTCATCAGTTAGAATGTCTTCTTTAGTACAGATTTCTCTACATCTAGAATGTTTTCTATAATAAATATTTTTTAGCAGTTAGAATATCTTCTATAGTACAGATTTCTCTACAGCTAGAATATTTTTCTAAAATACAGATTTCTCATCAGTTAGAATGTCTTGCATAGAGCAGAATTCTTAACAGCTAGAATGTTGTCTTCTTGACTGATCTCCCTCCAGTTTCCATTAAAAGCCATCCTTCAACAACATGCTGTGTGTTCTTTAAATGGCTAAAGAAATGCAATGAAGATGCCTTGAAAGAAACCGACTCAGGAAGAGAAATGACTGCTTACATCAACAAGAGACTAAATTCTTTTGTCATGTCATGATAAAGAGAAAACTGGAGTACACTGTGATAGTGGGAAAGCTGGAGGGAAAGAGAGGACGAGGGAGACCTAGAGAGAAGATACTGGACAGTTTGACATCATAGCATGGAAGATCATCGTGTCAGAGCTGATTAAAAGTACATGAGACAGAAGGTTGCAGATAGACATGACTACCAATACAATATGGCATGGACTATAGGAAAAGAAAGAGGATATTACAGATTATTATTAAAATATGGACTGGATGTCAGTATAATTCCTAGTCCACTATAGGACTGAATGGTACTTGCCTGAAACAAGTTAAAGAATCTAAATATCAAGGAGAATAGGAGAATAGATTGGGAAGTAGAAACAAGATGTCAACAAGCCAGTGCACACCATTATTAAGTCATCCAACCATAAGTATGACCACCAAGAAACAACAGCATATAATGCTGTGCTACCAGTGCCAGACTTGGACATTATCAAAGGCCACCCTCAGTAAAAGGAACACCTCTGAAATTAGATGCCTAAGAAAAGTTGCCAACTTAACCCTCCGAGAGACAGAGTGAGAAATTATATTGTCAGGCTGTGCACCAAATTCATTGAGAAACAGAAGATCAGATAGTTTGGTAATCTCATTATAATTCGACCACAACAACTATCATCAGAGACACTACACATGAAAAGGTGTGATGTAAAAGTAAGAGGTCGCCCTAAGAAAAGACAGACTGGTGACTTTCAAGAGATTCTACATCGACAGAGAATAACAAAAGCCATTGCTATCCATAAGATAATGAACTGCAAACTGTTCCTTACCAAAATGCTTAATGACAAGAGGATAAATTGATGATAATGATCATAATGATCCTGATGGACTGAATGGAAGCATTGAGGAACAGCTTGTACAATGATGATAACATTAATTATGGGTAGATAACATTAACATATGGATTGTAAGATGCAAGAGAAGATGCAGGACAGATGGTACTGGAGACTGCACACTCAACCTTTTCTTTGCACAGAGGACACTCCCAAAAAAAGACAAATAAATAGACTGCAAAATTTCTTGCCTGGCATGTTTCGCTGTACATCATCGGGACATTCTGCAGTAAAAATTTCATTTAATAAAGCAAATAAATAAGATACTTCTTCTTCTTCGTCCATTGGCTGTAAGTTCTGGAGTAAAGTCCTGGTTGTTCATCCATTTGGCTTTGTGCCAGGGCCTGAATTTTGCCTGTACATTTTGTTTTACTGGCTTATTTGTGTGCAGTTGCTTGTTCCTTGCCGCTCAGGCAAATGCACTCTGACTTCAAAGGAAGACCCCAGTTAGTTGAATTATACAACATGCTTGTTGGGGAGGCAATGGGTCTATTCTTGTTGACCCCACAATGGGGTCCTGAAACCCACATGGGGAAAATAACATACTATATGGAAACAAAGAAATATACACGTGTAAGGCAGACATCTGTTCAGAAACTGACCATAATCGAGGATGGGGATTGGCTTCAATGAACTGCTGTGCATCGGTGAGGCTGACTTTCTCAAGTAGATCTCTGGTATCCCTCAATGACTGAAAAAATTGGCATTTTTTGTTTATAAGAAACAAATGCTAACATTAACAAACTAACTAAACTCACTCAGTACCATGCGACTTACTGCCTGTTTGTTTGTTTCAGTTAGTTTAGTTTAGTTAGTTATACCTAGAGTTAGTAACTTATTTTGTTAATTGGTTGGTTGGTTTATTATGTTAGTTACAGTAAGTAACTTATTTTGTTATTTAGTGATTTAGCTTGTTACTTGGTTAATTAGTTAGTTTAATTAGTTAGTTTAATCAGTTAATTACTTAGGTAAGTTGGTTGGTTGATTACTTTGTTGGTTAGTTAGTTGGCCGGTTGGTAGGCTGTTGGGGGTTAGTTAGTCAAGTTTGTTCCTTTTTTTTTTCTTCAAAGCTCCAACTATGTGGCAACTGACTGACGTTCAACCCCACCAGGAGCACACAACAAACGATAAACACCCTGTGACACAAAGTGCAATATGGCAACTGAATCACTCCATAATTGCTCCGTTTCTGTGCCAACAAAAACTACAAGCCCATTGCTGTCCCTTATCAGGAAAAACTGAAACAGAATGCAGTCTTAGCAAAGCTAATAGCAGTCACATATCAAATGTACAAGACAACTGTCAGCAGTACCAACACAAACAGTCTGCCACTAGAATTGCATAGCCAGATTACGACTGGTACCATTTAAACTCTGCCCTGGCTGCTGAAGATGAGGATGGAGCACACATCGGAATGTCCCGAGTGCTGTGATGTCAATTCTTGACTCAACTCAACTCAACTAGAAGTGCATTTCATCATTGACGGAAGCAGCAGTTGCACGCACAATGTTGCATAAGGCACCACCATTTTTGTAGTAACAAGTCATCCACCATTTCCTAAATCTGCAGTTTACAACATAAACCACCATTTTTGTTAGTTAGTTAGTTCAGCATCACTGCAGATGGCTAGCCCCATAATTTCTCCATTTCCTGTGCCAGTGGAAATCACACAAAATGTCCTCTACTTTCCATATTTGAAGACTAGCGAAAATCTTGTCAGTACCAACAAAATCCTGAAGCTTGCACAAACAAAGTAAAAATAAATAAGGCAGCTGTCAGATGTGTCAACACTAGCGGTCCCACACCAGAATTGCAGTTCACTGTTGGAGCAAAAGGTCAATGCGAACACCAGCATGGTATCCATAAAAGTACATGCTATTCTGAGCATAATTGGCCACAAACTATTTTAGTGGGGTCAATACACCGCAAGTACAACAGAAAAAAACATTACACATGAAATTCCCAGAGTCACACCAAGCAGTCAACCCAGTAGCTTGGTGATGGAACCTTTGGACTCCCATGCTAGAAATGGGGAATTTGAAACAGCAAATAAGTGGAAACAAATAGTTTTTCAGAGCTATTGGTCATTTTGGCCAGCCAAAAAGCATTCCAAATTAAATCTGCAGCTCAGTGTCATACCCCACGCACTTAACTCAGTAGCTGGGTTGATGGAACCATAAACTTCCAGTCAATATATGGGGGAAATGTAACAAGCAAACTGTGGCCGCTGCTTATAATATTCCCAGTTTTTAATTCACCCACTCAACCTCAATTCTTACTCTTAACTTCCCCCGTCCCATAGTTTGAGTGTGTATGTGCATGAATGATCATGTAAAAGTATGTGTAAGTGTGTGTTTGAGAGTGTATGATTGCATTTTTTTTTTTTTTAACGTATCCAGAAACCATGAGTTGTAAACCCTTTGGCTCGGTACTATGGATATCGCAACCTTTCGGCATTGATTCCATTATAGGTACCGTTAATCTAGGAGAAATGTGGCTTTTCTGCCTACCCCCGGGAGTGAACCCAGACCACAAGGAGTTCGTCACCTGGCCGCCGCGAAAGTCAGGTTTAACCAACTTCGCTAGAGAGCCGGGCACAATGTACATATTTTTATTACCTTAACATGTATTACTGATAACAGGCAATGGCGCTCTGAAAGATGAGTGCTTAGAAGGGCCGAATGTCAGATGAGCCTGTATGCCCAATTTGCAACCCTTTGAAAATAAAGTTTGTTTCATTTATTCGTTTGTTGGTTCGTTCCTTCATTCATTCTTCTTCTTCTTCTTCTTCTTCTTCATCATCATCATCATCTTCTTCTTCTGATTCATTACTTCTTGTTCTTGTTCTTGTTCTAGTTCTTGTTCTTCTTCTTCTTGTACTTCTCCTTGTTCTTCTTCTTCTTCTTGTACTTCTATTTGTTCTTCTTGTTTTTCTTTTGCTTTTTCTTCTGCTTCTGCTGCTGCTGCTTCTTCTTATTTTTCTTCTTCTTCTTTTTCTTCTTCTTCTTCTTCCAGTTACTTCACTGAAGAGTTGGAGGAGATTTAAGACTCTTTATTGTGCTCTTTCTAGAGCATTATAATTTAATCTCATTCAATTAGGGCTCTTCATGATGTTATTGTTTTAAGGATCTTCATTCCATTAAGTCTTTTCATGATGTCACTGTTCCAAGGATCTTCATTCCATTAAGGCTCTTCATGATGTCATTATTCCAAAGATCTTCATTCCATTAAGGCTCTTCATGATGTCATTATTCCAAAGATCTTCATTCTATTAAGGCTTTTCATGATGTTACTGTTCCAAGGATCTTCATTTCATCAAGTCTCTTCATGATATTGTTCCAAAGATCTTCATTCCATTAGTGCTCTTCATGATGTCATTGTTCCAACCTTTGCTTGCTCTTCCCCCTTGCTCTGTATTGATTACATTTCTTCCCTTTGGCTTTCTATTCCGAATGGCACCAATGCATTTTCAACTGCTAGCCAAACCATCACATATGTTGCTCTTTAATGAAGCATATGATTTTAAAGAAATTGCAGAATTAATAAAGCAAGAATTTATCAAATGCAGATGGGTCTGAAATATTGTTTGAAAATATGAATACCTAATTACAAAAGTTTCTTATGAGATTTAGTGAAATCCGATCCTTAGCACACCAGGTTTTTTTTCCCATGATGAATAAGCAAAAAAACAAAAAAAAACACTATTTTCGTAGCTTTCTTAATGGTACAAAAGTCATACAATGGAAGAAATTAGGGATTCACCATGTAATGTACCCAAATACACCAATGACGGGACTTTCAGCCAATCTCCATTCTGAAGATGGTACTTAATAAGAAATATATATTTTCTACGATAAAGTCACACAGTGGCTAGGAAATATGCCAATGAAAACACCAGGTTGTAAACTATTAAATGTTAGATTTGAAAAGTAACAAGGAATAACAAACAAAACACACATAAAAGTATTTAGTGAACTAACTTTGGAACAAGGTGCATAGTAATATCACAGAGGAAACAGTGGAAATGAAGATACAATGACAGTATAGAGTAAAAATGATGTACGAAATACCAGGATATAGAATTATGAGTAGGCACAAAATAAACATAACTGCCATAGCAAACAAAATTGCAGTTTCCTTCATGCTTAAGATCTGGCAAAACACTTCTCGCACACAAGGTTTGTTAAGAGGCTGAAAACTATATGCCTTTTCTTTTTAACAGAAAAAATATGTTGACATCATCTGACTCATTTCTACAGAGTAAAGTTGATAAAATTCTAAAGAACGTTGAGTGAGCAAAAGGGAAAGACAATGTGCATTGAGTTAGCTAAGGGTTTATGCTCCCCAGGGGGATAAAGCACAAAAGAAAAAGAATATAAACAGAATAAGAATGGAAGGAGAAAAGAAGACTGATAGTCAGTCAGTCAGTGGGTCAACAGGTCATGCTCTCTGACATCGAACCATTCATGCCCACAATATACCCTAATTTCCATCTCCAACAAGTCATCCTTAGATGGGTTCTCTGGATCCTTCATGATTTCATCCAACAGAACAGCTTTGATCTGTAAGTCATTAAACTGACAGATGTAGCCTGAGCTCAGGATTGGCTCCTGTAAAACAATACAATCCATTAGATACTGTCATAATGCAAGCTGGCTTTTTTTTAATGTAAGTTAAAGTTAAGGTCGAGAGCCACGATGGTGTAGCAGCTAGACACTCGCCTGCGGATCAGAAGGTCATGGGTTTGGGTCCCCGATGGAACTTGACTTTGGCTCCCAGGTCTACCTAGAATTGAGTAGGTGCCAGGTACAAGGCAAACATGTAAACCACCGACATAGAGACCCACATTTTTTTAGGGCTGACATTTCTAAACTCTAGAATCACAATTACCTAGGTGAATAAATTATACATTTGCTTTGAAAAGGAAACAGGTTTGAATCCACAATAGGGAAGATTTTTTTTTAACTGACCTGATTTCTCAGGTGGACCTGGCAAAATAAAATTTAAAAAAGAGTACCAGGAGAATGTTCTGAGAAGTAAAGGAGGCACAAACACTACCTACTGAGTGCCAACTGGCATACACAAATCTGAGTCAAGCACCAAATGACTGATGACCTGGTGGTGTAAAAAAGGTTGTTTATAATTTAATCAAAAGTAATTCTGTAGCATTCACTGTCATTGGGTGTATAATCTTATGCCTTCATATGTTCTATATCAGGGCTATTCATTCAGTTGTTCTCTCAGGGTCTAAAATGTTGAACATGGGAGTCGTTACATGCCAGAGGCCTCAACCCTAGTGCAGAAAGATCATAAATACTGTACAACTGGCAATGATCCATGGGCCATTTGCTAGGCCTCTGCGCGCCAGATTTGGCCAGTTCAATAGCTCTGCAGATGGTCAGTGTTTTTTTTTTGGTATTCTTTAGTCAATGTCCCAGTCTAACACTGGTAGAACGAGGTTGGTAGGCAGATTGCATTTATAATTTGTCTTTTTATCTTCTCTGGGATAGCCAGGTTTTTCAATATCGGAGTCAGTTGATAAGTGACATTGTTGACTTGTTGGATTCTTGTTTCAATCCATCTGTCTATTCTGCCATCATATGTAAAGATGCTTCCCAGGTATTTAAAGTGTTGAACTTGTTTTACACTTTAGTCTTTTTTCTTTATTCCGATTGTTTGATGTTCTTTTGCTTGACATTTGACTTCAGTTTTGTCAATATTTATTTGTTTTGGCTTGGTGGACCATAGAGTGGTACTGGGTAGAAAAAGCAATATGCCACTGTTGAGGATTGAACCTTGGACAGTCTTGACAGGCAGGCACACTAACAACTAAACTAGCCTGGCTCAATTATACATGGTGTATGCATATTATTACAGTCTCCCAGAAATGTCATCACTGTCTGTATTCGTGTATTAGGAGGATGCTTGTGTGCTATCTGGGGCCATTTAAACCAAAAAAAATGAAATCATTGACAAAAATAATAAACAGGTGAAACAATTTCTTGAAGTCTTGAAAATGTGGTGTTAAAGAAGACTTCTTAGAACACCTTGGACAGCAACAACAACAACATTTTTCTTTAAAGAGCGACAAATATGTTTTGAAAGAGGTGAGTGCTTAAAGACAACTTATCACAAGCATCAGAAAGAGGCAGTCATAATTTTCTGATTATTTTATGACAAGAAGAAAATTGAAAGATGTTGTGACCACGAGAAAGATTTGTGGAAAGAGAGACAGAGGAAGACAATGTGAGATGATTCTTGACAGCTATTTGTCATGGCATGGAGGGAGTGTCATCACATGAACTGATACATACTGTCAATGACTGCAGACTGTGGAGAGGAGTGGTCGACCATGCCAGTCAGCACAGCACTTGATGATGATAATGATTATTATAGGACGGGGGGAGGAGGGTTGTCAGTGTGAAGCATTTATGGATGCATGGTTAGTGCAGTCACCAAAAAAGGTTTCGATTTTTGTCTCTTAACAGATAAAATCTACAATTCTTACTAAAGATGGAACCTGGGCCTCCTACATGGGAGCCTTGTGCTCTAGTCATTTGGCCAGCCGCGCCTCTACACTGTGTATCATCATCATCATCATCATCACCAATCAGCAGGTCCTTTCCAGAACGTCAATCATCACGGCACACTTGAAAGTTTCTTTCTCCAGCCAATTCACCAACCCTATGTGTTTTCATTGCCAGTGCATCTTCAATGTGTTGTCTCAACCTTAACAGAAGTTTGCCTCTGCCTCACTTTCTAGAAACTGTAGCCTCCATCACCACTGTCTCCTGGCCACCATGATGTTTAACATGACCTAAATACCTCCGCTTTCAGGACAGGATGCTATTTATGAGCCTATTTTCCTCGATGCTAAGATCATCTTATGGTGTCAGTGGTAGTCTAAAAATGTCATGGCAACTGTAAACAGAGTGATTGCTAGGAAAACAAATCTATACAAACTCAGACAGGTTCACACAGGGTAACAAAGGGATTACTGAAGTCGTCTCCATGTGGGATGCAATTTTTCGTTATTTGAAGCCCCACCCTGGCTTTTGCCAGGAGCCCTGAACATAGTTGGGTCATAAATATGGCCATAACGGCTGAAAGGGGTTTCTGTGACCTCTCCACGGGTGAACCTCTTCTGCATGGTGGCACTTTTATTAGCTTGTGTGATGTCCTGGTGAGGTATGACAAGAAAGAAAGAATGAAAGGGAGATATTACTAGACACGCTGGCAATGTCACAGAGTCACAATGTCACAGAGGATAACAGAGGGAGACAAGACTGGTTAGATTTATGGCACTGCAGGGAATATTAAAAGAAGAAAGAATAGACTGACAGTGTAAAGACGAACAAAATAGGGATTGAACAGTTAGGCAGTGTGTAAAACAGAATGACAACTGATGAGTACATCAAGAACATAAGAAACAGTTTGTAGTCAAGAGACATGATAAGCTGCTCCTCTAGGTATGAACATAACATGAGATTAACTAAACCATTGCATAATCAGTAATTCACAATTTAACAGAAATGTAAAGGCATCTATGGTTTACCTCTGCGTCCAGGTTCCTGAAAATGTACATTCTTGTCTTTTCCATAATTGCAAACAGCTCAGGATTATCCTGTATTTGAACAATAGTAGGAGATATTTTAATGTGCTTGTTTATACAGTGTCTCCTCAACTTACAACTGAGTTTCATACGTACTAACAGATTGTAGGTCAAACTGGTCGTAAGTAAAATCAATATTTTTCAACACTGTTTTCATTCAAATAGGAAACAAAAATTGTACATATAACACAAAAATGTAGTTTCTGTATGTATATTCAGACCCTGCTGCACTCTTAGCATCAGTTCAGACCTTTCTGATCCTACCAATGTAGTTCTTCTTCTTCAGCATTCCGAGCCCTTGAGGTTCATTGCTGCAGATATCACTCGCCTCCATTCTGGTTGGCCTTCTCATTTACATTGGTGACACCAAGTGTTTGCAGGTCTGTCTGGACATTACCAATGTAGTTATCTTTCTTTATTTACGATTTTTATTTATCTAACTTTTTGTGGTTGTAAATGGGGATGGTTTTAAGCTGCATGGGTCATAGGTCATGGAGAAGGTGTATTTGCTGGTATCTATAGCTTAAGAGTTATGAAAGGTCTTCTTCCTATAAACTCTGACTTCAAAGGATGCCTCCAATTAGTCGACTCTTACAAATGTTTGTTGAGGGAAAGCAGTGGGTCTATTCTTGTATTCCCCACAATGGGACACGGGGAACAGACCATTTTATTTCCTGTCTTTATATATAATTTAGTAATGATTTATCATTGCCTAATAGAATGTGACTTATGTTGGGGCATACAAAGAGAATGGCAGATAACAGAGAGAGAAAAATTGTGGGAAAAAAGAGATGAATAGAAATAGATCGTGAGGCAGACCAAAAAGAGAGTGGAGAGATGATATACAAGAAGACCAAGAAGACAACAGAGAAATAATACACAAGCAGACTTACAAACACATAAAGTCACCAAGGGCTCCAAATGCTGAAAAGAGGAAGCTTGGTTCAATGCCAACGATTCTCTGTTTATCTTGATACATGATTAACTTTTCCCTAATTTCAGCCAAGTGAAAATTTATTTTATCTTGGTTTTAATTGATTTCAGATTTTATTAACATTTTCTTTCTTAATTGTTTCCTCTGAATCAGTATTGCATTTTTCACATTATAGCACCTACATGGTTATTCTTGCACAAACAGGAACAATGGTAAAGGTTAAACTTGAAACAGACTCACCTCTGCCCACTTCATATCCCACACATCCTTGCGATCAAACTTTAAATGTTCACCTACTACCTCTCTGCCATCCTTGTCTGCAACTCTCGTGTCAAGGTCAAAGAAGCTCATGACTCCAGCATTATCAATGATTGCCACACGACTGGAAAATGATCAAAAGTCAAACTTTTCTTACATTAGGTAAAGATTCAGTCTTTGGATAGATGTCACCAATTCTGCAGAACAAACATGTAAAAAGTGACACCAAACTAGCACTATTCAATACAGTATTTTTTTTTTTTAAATATTGTTTTACCAGTACTAAACATAGACATTAACTACAAAACAAAAACTGAAACAACAGAAATGAAATGTCTATGATGAATCCTAAATGTAACTAGAACAGACAGGATCAGAAATGACGATATCAGGAAAGATTTGGAACACAACCAGTACTAAACTACATCAAAAGACAACAGATTAAATGGTTTGGACATGTGTCAAAACTATCAGCAGATAGTGCACCACAAAGAGTCCTCTCATTTAGACACAATTGAAGCAGACTAAAGGTTGACCATGCAAGCAGTGGATAGATAGAATATCCCAGGCCGAAAATACCAGCATCTTGGTAGCAAATAGCAAGACTCGCACCTGATGCCTCTTCAAAATCTGACACTGAAAGGCAGAATAGTACTAGAGGAGAAGAAAAAGATGTAAAGATTGTGTCTGAAATGGCAGGTCCAGCGACTATAATGACTGCAGCTTGCAGTTTAATTATACCGTTCTGAAAATACCATCTTTGCTTTATTTGAGCGCTACCAAAAAAAGTAGATGCACACATCATACACTTAAAACACTGTGACCTGCTACACAAAAAGTAGATGCACACATCATACAATTAAAACACTGTGACACGCTACACAAAAAGTAGATGCACACATCATACAATTAAAACACTGTGACATGCTACACAAAAAGTAGATGCACACATCATACAATTAAAACACTGTGACATGCTACACAAAAAGTAGATGCACACATCTTACAATTAAAACACTGTGACCTGCTACACAAAAAGTAGATGCACACATCATACAATTAAAACGCTGTGACCTGCTACACAAAAAGTAGATACACACATCATACAATTAAAACACTGTGACATGCTACACAAAAAGTAGATGCACACATCATACAATTAAAACGCTGTGACCTGCTACACAAAAAGTAGATGCACACATCATACAATTAAAACACTGTGACCTGCTACACAAAAAGTAGATGCACACATCATACAATTAAAACGCTGTGACATGCTACACAAAAAGTAGATGCACACATCATACAATTAAAACGCTGTGACCTGCTACACAAAAAGTAGATGCACACATCATACAATTAAAACACTGTGACCTGCAACTACACAAAAAGTAGATGCACACATCATACAATTAAAACGCTGTGACATGCTACACAAAAAGTAGATGCACACATCATACAATTAAAACGCTGTGACATGCTACACAAAAAGTAGATGCACACATCATACAATTAAAACGCTGTGACCTGCTACACAAAAAGTAGATGCACACATCATACAATTAAAACACTGTGACCTGCAACTACACAAAAAGTAGATGCACACATCATACACTTAAAACACTGTGACATGCTACACAAAAAGTAGATGCACACATCATACAATTAAAACGCTGTGACATGCTACACAAAAAGTAGATGCACACATCATACAATTAAAACGCTGTGACCTGCTACACAAAAAGTAGATGCACACATCATACAATTAAAACACTGTGACCTGCAACTACACAAAAAGTAGATGCACACATCATACACTTAAAACACTGTGACATGCTACACAAAAAGTAGATGCACACATCATACAATTAAAACACTGTGACATGCTACACAAAAAGTAGATGCACACATCATACAATTAAAACGCTGTGACCTGCTACACAAAAAGAATGCATACCTAGACGAACAATTCAAACTCAGCTGGTGAGGTCTGCATGACAAAGTATACTTGTGGGTCAGAACAACCATCGGAAGTGCATAACGAATCATGACCCCTGACTCTCGGCCCTGAATTGAAAAAGAAACATATTATGTTTATAGCCTCGATGTGGTGTAGCAGTGGTATATTTATAGCACATATATATTGTAAGTAGTAAACGTTGTATATTTCTAGCATACCTATGATGTAAGTAATTAAAGCTGTATATTTATAGCATATATGTGATGTAAGTGGTAAAACTGTATATCTGCAGCATAAATGTGATGTAAGTAGTTAAAGTTGTATGTGTGTAGCACAAATGTGATGTAAGTAGTTAAAGCTGTATTTCTGTAGCACATATGTGATGATGTGATGTAAGCAGTTAACATTGTTTATCTGTAGCACACATGTGATGTAAGTAGTTAACGTTGTATATCTGTAGCACATATGTGATGTAAGTAGTTAACGTTGTATATCTGTAGCACATATGTGATGTGAGTAGTTAATGTTATATGTATATCTGTAGCACATATGTGATGTAAGTAGTTAACGATGTATATCTGTAGCACATACGTGATGTAAGTAGTTAACGTTCTATATCTGTAGCACAAATGTGACGTTAGTAGTTAAAGCTGTATATCTGTAGCACAAATTTGACATCAGTAACTAAAGTTGTATTTTGTAGCACAAAGAAGTGTAGAAGTTAAATATTTATAGCATGTATTTGGTGGGAAAGTTGTATATTTATAACACACATGTGGTGTAATAGTTGTATATATTCAGCACACATGTGATGAAAAGTTGTATTCTGGTAACATATATGTAATGAAAGAGCTGCATATTTGTGGCATGTATAGGGCATGAAAGTTGTAAATATGTGACGAAAAGGTTGTAAGTCTGTAGCACATATGTTTGCACACCAGTCTGGTGGTCACAGGTTAGCACTGTGCAAACTTTTTCAACTGTCTTAGGCTCCAAGATCAATCATACAGACCCTTCACCCCTGCGCCCAGTCCAGACTTTGGGTCACTATACAACTGTGGTGGTGGTGATGGTTGGGGGGTGGATATCTGTTGTTGAACTATGCAATTTCTCCATGTAGGATTCTCATCCCTGAGGTGATTGAGTACCTACCTACCCAGTGATACCTCATTCAAATGAACACTATACTGTGACAACTAATAACTAATGATTGCAAGAAAAGGTGCCAAATGAAGCCATGCGCATTATTTTGGGATGTACAAGAGACACATCCTGTGAAGCAATGAGGTATCTACTTGACTTTCCAACAATGAACCAAAGGATCAGGATGTGGAGGGCTCGGGCATATCTCAAAATATGCGCTGATAAGAAACACCCACTGCATCAAGCGCTTTTTAGTGAAAAGGGCGACAGACTGAAGAGGGGGAAATCGTGGCTAGGTCGGGCAGAAGATGTTATTAGGCAAATATGCAGCCTAACCGACATCATACCTGGTGCAGAATGGATACCTGTGCCTCAGGCGTTTATTTGTACATTTTCCTGTATTGTCACACTCAACAGGCGATGTAGAGAAGAGAATCCTGTTGCTGTTAATGCAGAGGTCAACGCTCTCATCAGTGAAAATTCAGACGAAGCAGATGCAATAATCTATACAGACGGATCCGTTATACGCCAAAGAAGAAGCGCATGGGCATTTACAGCACGCTCAGCGGGCAGAACAGTCAAAGAAGCCAACGGCGCCTTCTCCATGACAACCAGCAGCATGACGATGGAGGTGATGGCAGTGACACAAGCGCTTGCCTGGCTTGAAACACAAAAATACACCCGCGTGTGTATACTCAGTGATTCAATGAGTATGATCCGGAGGGTTCAGGCAGGTTCAGTGCGAAGACAATGGCTTGAATCATTACAGAAGTCCACTGTTCGTGGAGTCACCTTTATTTTTGTTCCGGGACACGCAGGCGTCGATGGAAATGAAAGAGCTGACAGGTTAGCTGGATCCGCTATCACTACCGACGGTCAGCCTATGGATCACGCTGATATTATCAATGCCCTCAGAGAAATGGGAAGGATAGAGGACTTTGGTGGCAGTGAATCCACATCACTCGCCAGAATGGCAGACTTGGGAATTAAGATCGGCACAGCAAAACACGAGACGCACACCAGCTACGCCAGAAGACTTGTTAATCAACATAGAACTGGTACTATTAGCCATCGGACGTTGGGGTTCATACTGAGGGGAGGATCTGAGCACCTATGGACATGTCCGGAGTGCAATGAGGATAACCCAACTAACTAACTAACTAACTAAAAAGATTGCAAGAAGTAATCTTTGTCCTGTGTGGGTAGGGATTAAACTTTTTTTTTAAAAAGGTCCTTTACCATGCTTTACTAAAGCATACTGGCCTAGAATACAAGATGTACTCACCACTATCAGGATTTTGTCGTGTGCACAGATACAGCATATGTGGTCATCTGTATTCTGTGAGGACATATATAGATGTTGGTAAGTCATGCATGATTTGATGCAATCCATTTTTGGTTGTTACACATTTATCATCATCATATGCCTTGCTGACTCGCGTGGGTGATCATGCCTTTCTACAACTTGGATCTACTGGTACCATTGAAATTGGAACTTTTCAATTGCTGCTGAAGATGGGGACTGAGCACTTATGGGAGTGTCCCGAGTGCTGTGATGTCAATTCTTAATCCAACATTCTAAAAATTGGATCTCAGTGGAGTTCTCTGTGGCAAAATGTTAATGCTGCGTGGCAAAGTGGTCATGCTGTTTGCCTCGTGCTCTGAAAATCATGGGTTCATTTCATGGTTGCATTCTTCAATTCACAAGTGCAATTTTTTATGCAGATGCCTGTGGATCCTCACCAGCGCTATGGTGTTTGTGCTTTGTGCGATGCTCTCGACAGGCGGCTAGCTGTTCTGCAGAGAGAGACGGTGCCATGTGGGATTAAAAATTTGAAACAATGAACTCGAACCTTTCAACATTAACTTTAACCTCAGATCTCCAACAGCATGAATCAGTTCAATGCTGAAACCCTTCCATGCCAATACAAAATGCTATAAAGAACCGTCTCACACTGTCTTCCTCTGACTCTCTTTCCACAAATGCTTCCAGTTGTCACAAAATGTTCCAGATTGTCTCTTCTCATAATGTCAAAAAATGCTGACTGCTTCTTTATGAGGAATGCTTATAGTTTTGAAAAAGCAATGCCTTCCCACCTGACGGACTGAATATATTTAGTTATTTTTCATATAAAGGAGGCGATAGCAACATGGTTTCTCAGACGAATGTTAAGAATTCCTTGGTCTGCCAAAGTAACCAACAAGGGTTGCTTGAAGGAATCTAATGAAAGCAGATCAATATATACAGCTATAAGGAAAAGAAAAGAACTGTTCTTTGGTCATGTGATGAGGGGCGAGGCTTTGGAGAATACTGTGACGACTGGGTAGAAGAAGGGATCAATGGTAGAAGAGGGAGAGGCAGACTGAGAGAGATTATGATGGATGGATTGGAACGGTGGTAAGGAGGGATATCATCGGTGGAACTGACCCAGAGGACAAGAAACCAAGATCTATGGAGATGCATGAACGTATACGCCAGTCGGCAAGGCATGTGATGATGAGGATGATTCATATAAAGTTTACAGAGGGAATGTAGAAGCACAGTTAGAACAAACCACGAAACATCTAAACCATTCACAGTAACATCTGGAGTAAGACAGGATGTGTCTTACCACCATGGCTGCTTTTTAGATACCTTCATCCACTGAATATGCAAAAATGCCAAACCCAAGAATAAAAATATTAGTAAGATGAAAGAATTACTCTTTGCTTATGACCAGACCTTGACAGCAATACATCCATGAAATTGCAACATCTTCTTCTTCTTCTTCTTTTCTCTACTCCTGGAATGCCTCGAGGCCACAAGGGCAGGGCCCTTCTGTGTGCTTCGTATAAAGTACATTTTAGTGTCTCTGATATTTATGCAGTCCATCTTCTGCGTTGTCGACCTCTGATTCTGTTACCGCAATATCTATATAACATTGCTCTCTGTGGTGCCCTGTCTGATGCCAATCTTGTTACATGATTTGTTGTCCACCTTTTAAGTTCAGTGTTGGGTCTGTGCCGACTCTCCTCCTGCAACAACTCTAACATCTGTAAATGAAGAATTTAAAACATAAAATACAAAAATCAACAGAAGTAATGTCAACAGGAAGTCAGTAGCAGATATCACCTACAACCATCACCTATGTGACTGATCTTCTCTTTCCAGCTGGTGACTCCAAATGATTGTAGGTTTGCTTGGATATTATCTCTCCACAGTTTTCTTGGTCTGCCTCATGGTCTACTTTCATTCCACAGTAATGTGTGATGTAGTTATTGTCTCTCTGCTACCTGCCATTCTCTCTTTATGCCCCAAACATATGCTGTCTATTAGCCCTCATGATGCCAGTAAATGAAAATCATACAACAGGGACAACTCTTACAGCATAGGATTTCTTAAAGTCAATGTCCTCCTGTCCAGTAGTGGACCCAGATGGTGTGTCGTCAATATGAATCAATCTGAAAACAAAATAATATGAGTGATACGAGATAGAGTGTCATCAGCATTAATTACTCTGAGAACAATTGAACATGAATGGTAAAAGATGGACTGTCTTTAGCATGAATTACTTTGAAAACCATACAACATGAGTGATATAAGATGGACTGTCTTCACTGTGAATTACTCTGAGAACAATTCAACATGAATGATACAAGATGGACTGTCGTTAGAATGAATTACTTTGAAAACCATACAACATGAGTGATACAAGATGGACTGTCTTCACCGTGAATTACTCTGAGAACAATTTAACATGAATGATACTAGATGGACTGTCTTTAGCATGAATTACTTTGAAAACCATACAACATGAGTGATACAAGATGGACTGTCTTCACCGTGAATTACTCTGAAAATTCAACATGAATGATACAAGATGGACTGTCTTTAGCATGAATTACCCTGAGAACAATTCAACATGTGTGATACAAGATGGAGTGTCTTCAGCATGAATTAATCTGAGAACCATACAACATGAGTGATACAAGATGGACTGTCTTCAGCGTGAATTACTCTGAGAATCATACAACATGAATAATACAAGATGGACTGTCTTCACCGTGAATTACTCTGAGAACAATACAACACGAATGTAGAGGATGGACTGTCTTCAGCGTGAATTACTCTATGTGACTCTGAAGGTCGCGCATTCATTTCACGGCTGCTCCCTTCAGTTCACAGGAACAATTTTACGCAGATCCCTGGGAATCATCGCAGGAGCTATGGAGTTGGTGCTCTGTGCTGTGCTCTGGGCAGGCGGCCAGCCGTTCTGCGGAGAGAGACTGAGCCATATCGGATAAAACCCGGTGCAATGAAGTGGATCCTCTGTATTTTAACCTAACCTTTTAACAACAAAACAATTGCCTGCAGTCTTCACAATGAAGGTTGGTAAGATTGCATTCAATGATGTCTTTGGGAATGCCACGGCAGGGCTCCAATCTCTCTTGTAACTCTGTCAGAGTGCCGCACGAGCAAGTTTGTTTTGTGTTTTTCTGTAAATTGTTTGCTTCAGAAACTGAACCATGGAACATTAACATTTCTGAAGTTGGGAAATGAATTTACTAACTTCTAATCCATAGAGTCAGACATATGTATACACAGACACATCCAACTTCCGGTCAAAATGGACACTAGGCGGGGGCACTGTTTGAAGCCGTTCTGCTGGACGGTTGCCAATGCAGTTTTGCTCCATTTGTAGACTGGATATAGTTTCGTCGCCCAGCTTCTGAGCTGAATGCATGGCGTGACACTGTGAGCTGCGGATTTCATTTGGAATGTTTTTTCGACTGTGACCAACGTGGTGGTGTGAATTGTAGATTCAGAAAATGGTGCGATGCCTGTCGTCGCAATGTTGGTGGTGCCCGTATGTGATTAAAATTGATCGCGTGGGAAACTGCTGATCTGTTTGTGATTTCTGTGACCATCAATGATGAACTGCATTTCTAAAGTCGGACTGTTTGTGTTAGCACTTCGGATGGCTACCGTATGCTTTAATGCGAGTGTATGCTAGATATGCTGAAACAGCAGTCTGTCAATCTTTCCACACGGACTGTGATAAACATTCTGTGTGTTTTTCGTTGGCACGGGAGCGGAGCAAAGATGGGGTGACCCGTTTGCTATAAAGCTGAAACTAAGACTACCAGACCAGACCAGACAGACACATCCATAAAAACACACCCATGAACAAAGACATGCATACATACACAAAAGAAAACACACTACAGAATCATTAGGCAGAATCTGCTTATACAATATGACTGCCTTACCTTTCAGAGCCAGCTTTCCTTTTTGAAGCAATTTCTAAAGTTGCCAGTTTTTTCGGGTTCTTAAACTGCCAACAGTAAAATGCTTCCCTCGAAGCACAAATGATCTGTGATTTGGTCATGCACAAATAGACAGGTTCCATCTCAATGTACTTTGAATCCAAAGGTGTCCCAATGGAGTTGCAGAGGACAAGAACATACTTGGATTTTGAAGAGGAGGAAAAAACAAGATGATAATTAGACATTGTCTTTGTCAATGCAGTGTTAACGTCATTATGTAGATGTCATGTTCCAGGCTTAGTCAAGTAAAAAACAGACTATAGTCAGTCCAGATTAAATCTAGCTGAAACAGACTAAACCCCAAATCCACTAACGTCTGAGGGTGTTCAAATCGTGAACCTCAAGCAGCATAAAGAAAGTGTTAAACCTGTATGCGAAACCCACACGCAGTGACACCCACGCACAGTGACACCCACGCACATAGTGAAACTATGTTTTGTTATTAAATTTCAAACTGCTGAACCATTTGCTAAAAAGAGAATTCACAACATGATAAATAAATTACTTTCACTGTGTTACACCCCCTATAAATATATATAAATATATAAATATATATATATATATATATATATATATACACACACACACACACACACACACACACACACATATATATATACAAAATTTTTAGTCCGAGAGATAAACTGACAACTTTTATTGTGTGTTCGCCGGCTGTAAGCTCCATCAAAAAATCCTGGCTGTTCGTTTATTTGGACTTTGTGCCAGGGCCTGAGTTTTGCATGTACATCCATTTTACTGACTTATTTATGTGCTACTGATTGTTCCTTGCCGCCCGGGCAGACTAATTGTTCCTTGTCGACCAGGCAGATTGTTCCTTGCCACTCGGGCAGACTGATTGTTCCTTGCCACTCGGGCAGACTGATTGTTCCTTGCCACTCGGGCAGACTGATTGTTCCTTGCCACTGATTTAGACTGATTGTTCCTTGCCAATCGGGCACACTGATTGTTCCTCGCCACTCGGGCAGACTGATTGTTCCTTGTCACTCGGGCCGACTGATTGTTCCTTGCCACTCGGGCCGACTGATTGTTCCTTGCCACTCGGGCAGACTGATTGTTCCTCGCCACTCGGGTAGACCTTTTGTTCCTTGCCACTCGGGTAGACTGATTGTTCCTTGCCACTCGGGTAGACTGATTTCCTTGCCACTCGGGCAGACGGATTGTTCCTCGCCACTCGGGTAGACTGATTGTTCCTTGCCACTCGGGCAGACTGATTGTTCCTCACCGCTCAGGGAGACTGATTGTTCCTTGCCGCCCGGGCAGACATTGTTCCTTGCCACTCAGGCAGACTGACTGTTCCTTGCCACTCGGGCAGACTGATTGTTCCTTGCCACTCGGGCAGACTGATTGTTCCTTGCCACTTGGGCAGACTGATTGTTCCTCGCCACTCGGGCAGACTGACTGTTCCTTGCCGCCCGGGCAGACTGATTGTTCCTTGCCACTCGGGCAGACTGATTGTTCCTTGCAGCCCGGGCTGACTGATTGTTCCTTGCCGCTCGGGCAGACTGATTGTTCCTTGCCCCTCGGGCAGACTGATTTTTCATTGCCGCTCGGGCAGACTGATTGTTCCTTGCCCCTCGGGCAGACTTATTGTTCCTTGCCACTCGGGCAGATGCTTGCTGACTTTGAAGGAAGCTCCCAGTTGGTCTACATTTATGACGTGCTTATTGGAGTGGCAGTGGGTCTGTTCTTGTTTTCGCCACAAATTGGCCCTAGGACCCATACTGTGACAATGCACAAAAAACTGTCATTTTGTTCTGAGATAAACTGACATCTTTCACTGTGAAATATTTCAATGTAAATAAGTCTGTTAGAGCAATCAAATTAACAATGTTTATTGTGAAATACTCGAATTAAAAAAAAAGTCTATTGTTAGAAAGATAAATCAGACTACTTTTACTTTGAAATAATCTAATTAAAATAAAAGTATTTTGTCAGAAAGATAACTGACTACCTCAAAATAAAATACCCTAATGTAAAACAAGTCTTTGGTTCATAGACAAGTCACAGTGAATTTCCCAAATGTAAATTAATCTATCATTTTATAAGTGAGATAAATTGACAACTGTGACTACAAAATATCCTAATGTAAGTAAGTCTTTTGTCAGAAACATAAATTTACATTCTTTCCTTCTGTCAGCAATATAAATTGACAGATTTCATTGTCAAATATTTAATGTTAATAAGTAAGATTTTTCTGACAATTTTTGCCTAAAACACTCAGATGATTAACATGCTAGATACCTGATTAGCTGTTTCATCTCCCTTAGTTGCTAAGCAGCAATAATCTCCAAATGAGGCTATGGCAATCAAGTTCTTGACATATTTTACATATTTCTGCAACAGAAGAGACCAAATATGTTTACATACTAACAGACCAGGCATTATCAGAACACAGTGGCCCATAAAGAACATTAGAGAGGTTGCCCTTAACTGATGCACTCATGTAATATCCGAGCCTCAAAATACCACCATGAATAAGGAACACCCAGAACCATGAATAAGGAACACCCAAAACCCTAACAGACTAGATAGCTGACCACTTTCTGCCATGTTCTGTCAGAGTCACTATTAACTTATAAAACTATAATCTTCACGTAATAATTACTAATTCAAACATGAGTCAACTGTTCTGGGTACTTTATTGAAGCAACCTCATCTATGGTTCTTCTTCTTCGTCTTCAGCATTCAAGCCCTCGAGGTTCATTGCCGCAGATATCATCAGCCTCAGTTTATCTCTAACTGGCCTCTTTTTTCCAGCTGATGAGTCCAAGTGTTTGTAGGTCTGCCTTATAGTATCTCTTCAATGTCTCCTTGGTCTGGCTCTTGACCTACTCCCATTCAACACTTTTATCATCTTCAGCAGCCAGCAAAGAGTTCCAATTCCAGTGGTGCCAGCAGCAGTTTGATTATATATCTGTCTTACCTTTCCTCTGAGTGTAGCCCGACAACCAGACACCCTAGTCACTCCTCGCTGTACCATTATCTCTAGACAAAAAGGATGGCATTCTCTCTACATGCCCTAATCAACTTCTTCTTCATCTTCAGCAATCCGAGCCCTAGAGGTTCATTGCTGCAGATATCACCCGCCTTCATTCATCTCTTTGGTTGACCTTCTTCTTGAGCATTCCGAGCCCTTGAGGTTCATTGCTGCAGATATCACCCGCCTCCATTCATCTCTGTGATTGGCCTTCTCTTTCCAGTTGGTAACACCACATGTTTGCAGGTCTGTCTGGATATTATCTCTCCATCGTCTTCTTGGTCTCCCTCATGGTCTACAACCATTCATCTCCCTGGTGTATACAGTTTTTACTCCTCTGTTATCTGACATTCTTTCGATATGCCCCAACCATTTCAGTCTATTAGCTCTCATGATGCCAGTGATCAGTGGTGATTTAAACAGATTATGAATTTCTCTGCTGCTTCTCAAGGCAGCTGACCCTACATTTATCAATTACTTTATCACATATATTTTTTAAGTTCTTTTCTGCTAGTCTCTTATGTTAATCCATTTCAGCATGAATGTTTCTCTAACATCGTTTATGCCATATATTTATTACTTCAACTTCATAAAACTCAAAGATCGTCACTCTGATGTACAAAACTGAATTTTAGAGTAACAAATGTCTGGGTAATATAATTTTCATTACTCTATTCACTCCATGAAGCTGAAGCAAATGGAAAGACTACCTCAGAATTTAGAATTTAATATTGTAGCTGAGTTCCATAAACAAAATGCAACACAAAACATCAAATTTCAAAACAATGGAAATGGAACAACATTAACAGAACTGCACTTAAAATGCATTAAAACTTAAGGCTTTAACTCGTTCACTCCCAGGTAATTATTCCCTAACAACTTTCTATTTCAAAGACTGTACTTTAAAGGTACAAATTTGAACATTAATGAGTTAAACCCATACAACTATGAGACAGAAAAACATAAATTAATTATTGATACACAATGTATTGGAAGAATGCGATCTAGACATGCATAATATGTATCATCACAATCTTTATCATCATGTTGTGCCATTATGTGTCACACTGAGCTTGCAGTCTGTTCAGTGCTTTATTAATATACTAGCCCAAACAGGGAAAATCCACATCACGAGACAGCATAATATTTCAGGGGGTGGTAGATAGGCTGCATGCAGTCGCGGGACCAAAGCTGCATGCAGTTGTGGGATCTAGGCTGCACTCTCTCGTGGGATGTAGGTGGGTTAGGGTTAGGGCCAGTTTGAGATGTTTTGGGGTTGTTAAAAGCATCATAAAGCTGGGAAACCGAGTCTTACCACCCTCTAAAATGTTAGACTGTCCTGTGACATCATCTGGGGTAGGATATTAATAAAGTGCCATCTATTCTTCCATTCTGTTCTATCCTGCGCAATCCTTTCAATACAACACACAGAATCCAATCCAGCACCTTGTGCCTCTCTCCTCCGTGTTTGTTTCAGGATTTATCTTGAACATCCTCATCTGCTTAATCCATTAGTTTCCAACCACAGTGCCTATTTAATGCTCGTTTCTTCTTAGGATGTTATCAGTTCAAGATCCTCATTGTCTTTTACCTGTTGTACCAGCAGTTGCCTAAACATTTCTCTTCCTTCTTAATCCTTCTTAATCCATCTTTCATCATCATCATCAGTTTCCACTTCTGCCATTAAGCGTTGTGGGGAGGAACAGTTTGCAATCCATTGCTTGTCGGGCAGCTATGGCTACTGTCATCCAGTGTCGATGTAGAAACTCTTCTCCTAGGACAGCCTCTTGCTTTCACTTCAGATCCTTCCATGTGTAGCGCCTTCTTTAATTCATCCTATTTATGTCCATCAGTTTCCCTTTGTACGTATTTCTGAACACATTTAACTTGCCCTCCATTATTTGGTAGTTCTCCCTCTTTCACTGGCTAATGTTTAAAAATGAAATAGCAGTATACCTGGTGTGGGTTTAGGGACCACATTATGGGGGAAAACAAGAACAGACCCACTGCCTTTCCAAGAGAGTAACTAACTGAGAGCTTCCTTCAAAGTCGCAGTGCATCTGCCTGAGAGGCAAGGAACAAAAAATCTGCATACAAGTAAGTCAGATCTGTAAAACGGATGCGCACGTAACACTCCAGTTCTGGAATAAGACTGCAGTCCAGAGATGGACAATCAACCAGAACTTTCATCCAGAGGTACAGCCAGTGAACGCAAAGAAAAGAAAATAACATTAGAACTGAAAATTTTCAACTTGGTTATAAAACTATTTAATTTAGAGTTCCCTATTGTGAAGGCTTCTAAAAGCAGCTGAGGCTACTGTGTATAGTGTCATCAATAAATGTACGGTGAGTTACCTGGCACTGAAAGAAATAACAAGAAACAGCAAAACTATACTTTAACTTGTTGTATACCTTTTTAACTGCAACAGTATCTTGTGATACCCAAAACGGAAGCGAATATTCTTTGTGATCCTGCATTAAGTGCATTTTCATCACATAGATTCAGTATGGATTATTAAGTAAATAAAGTAAAACAACTTTTTTTGCTCTTGTTGCTATCATTGTATTCATTAAACAGTCAAACTATTCAAGTCTGTTTTTCAGCGAGTTTAATTAAAGGTATTGTTATTTCAGCTCTTGCAATTTCTTCATTTCTCACATGATCTCTTTTAGTTTTGTTCACTGCCTCTCTCAAATATTTCACTTAATAGGTGGTCAGTTTCTTTTCATGTTCTTTAGTTCATGTCCAAGTCTGACACTGACAACACAAGGTTGGTATGAAGAGTGCATTTATAATTTGTATTTTTGTCTCTACATTGAGATAGCCAGGTGTTTTTAAAATTGGGGTCAGTTGTTACATACATGACCTTGTTGGCTTGTTGGATTCCTTATGCCAGTTACATAAGATTTTCTTTTAATAATGGTGCCTGCACTAGATATGTGCATCCAATGCTATTTTGAGGAATACTGTGTGACGATGCTCCCATTTCTTATTGAGTGACTTTTGTGCTAATGACCAAAAGCTACACACACAAATGTCTTTTTCAACATTTAAAAAAAATCATAAAACAAACCCTGGTACTCTGATGAGTGAAATATGTTCACTGACGTCTATGTCATATTGTCACACAATGGCGCCCAGTTCATTAAATGAAATAGAATAAAACTTTTGTTAACACGAATTAACTTAAGAAGAACATAAACAAGTTAGCATAAACAAAACTGTGGCTCCCATCAGGGATGATTATTTTATTATTATTATTATTATTATT